TTCAAGCATCCTGGATTCACTTCTTTTGATAGGGAATAAGCGTGAAAAACATCTGTTGTTAAGGATCCACTTGTTTCATTGCAAATTCATTCGATAAAAGATCTAAATTCATTTCAACTGAGAAAAATTTATAGTGATATATGCCGGTAGATGATATCGATAAAAGCGAACGATTTTATTAAATTACTTAATTGCTCACAAAATTTTTGGTTAAAGTATAGAAGGGCTAAGGACAAGGATTTCGCTTCCAGTTTCATTATATATATCGTCTACCAATTGATTCACTTTTTTCCAGTTTTCCCTCGTTTCTTAATAATGTTTTAAATTAATACAAGAATTTATCGTTTATAAAAAATTTGAGGCTTAGGCTTTTTTTTTGTTTTCATTTTGGAAGTGAATTTCTGGTTATTTCAAGTAGAAATCATTTCTACAGAAAAATTTATGCTCGATTGGATTCACTAGTAAAATTAATTACTTTGCTCAATAGTTTATTTTAGTACACTGATTAACAATTTTTTTATCGTTTGAAGAGGAAAAAAGTGCAGATGAATTTCCTCCCGAATCTATGAATTCCATGCATATATTACTAAAAATTTTATAATTTTTAAAAAAAAAAGTTATTTGCACGCAATGTAAATAATTAACTTTCACCATTTCTGGTTAGGTTAATTACTTCCCATTATAATATATGATAAGAATTTTTGTCAAGAAGTCCTTTAGCTAGAAGTATAGATGAGTCCCAGCAGCGCTTAGGTTTTTTAACGTCAGGTTAATCCTATGAGAGGGAGGCAATCGCTGCATCGCAAAACAATAATCTGAGTCATACCACTGGGTTCTCAAATTCCTAAACAAATGTAATGTAAAAAATGTAAGTAATATTTATAAGATGTACTTATTTCGTTTAATGCCTGCAGAGCGCGTTTAGTTTCAAAATGAGAATTACGTTGGAAAATTAAATTTATTTACCCTAACAAATGCAGTTGAGGAAACCATTAATAGTTAGGAATAAATGCAAATTTACCCATCACCTTGTTTTCTGAGATTTGTCCTTATATGCTTGAATACCTATAAATAAATACTTGAGAAATTGCATGAGCATTCTATCGATAATCAATTCGTGCATTTTTTTGCTCCTTGCATAAAGTTTATTGATTGCACTTGTTCTTATTAACTTATGGTGTGCAAAGTCTGCTTTACAGTATTTTACGGCGCTAAATTATTACTGATAAAATTAATGATGTATACTATTTTAAAGTAGGATCTGAGGATTCCATGAGTCTCAGAAATCCCACCACGGAGTCGTTGAGGCTAAGACAGCTTTCCTTGTTCGTTCTAAGATAATGTAGCAACAATAACGATATATTATAAAATTTCTTAAGTTTCAATTTTTAATTAATACGAAAAATACCGAAGGAAATAACCACAAATAAATAAAGACTTTTATAATTCTTAATAACTTTTATGAGAAAAGATGAGTGCTCAGGTGAAAAAGTTTGAGAAACACTATTCTGTATAAATTCTGTATAAATGTTAGTGTTAGTTACTGTTCTTAAGTTTCAGTGATCAACCACAAATTCGTCATTTTTGAAAATTTCATTAAATTTCTAAATTTTTAAGAATTTTCAAATTTTTTAAAAATTTCGTGCGACCAAATATAATAAATGATATCTATATTTGAATGTAATAAATATTATTTTCGCCAACGTAATATTGTATTCAATGTTTATTTTATCAATTATCTATAACGAATTATCTATTTTTTATTATTATTTTATCAATTATCTATTAGTGCAATATAACGAATACATTCGTAGATCAATAAGGATTCATTCCACAGCGTTTTCCCTGAAAAGCGACAAATGGCCGTTCTTGGAAAGAGTGTATCGATTCCTGCTTGATTCGTCAATATTTTCTGACATTTCAGTTTTTTTAATCCAGTACTTAAATAAAACTTCATTTATTTCATTAAATTTATCAATCAACCAGTAGGGTTACTAGATAATGGCTTAAATTATTATGTTAGAAGGTAAAGGCTCGACTCCTGTGCGCCACAAGAATAAACCTATTTAAAAAACCCGATTGGTACTAACAACTCTAATTGCACTTTTATTACCAAATGGCTCTCTAATGAAAATTTTGCTTGATACTAAGCCTGAGCAAAAATAATGAGCGCTAACCACTTATTTAAATATTTGATTATTATCTTGTTTAGTTCGATTTCATCTGACCTATTAATAATAATAATAAATAATGGTAACAATAATAATAATAGTAATAATAATAGTAATAATAATGGTAATATTAATAGTAATAATAATGGTAATAATGGTAATAATGGTAATGGTAATATAATAAATATTATAATTATAATAAATAATATTTTAATAAAAATACTAGTAGTACTAATTAATAATAATTCATTTATTTTATGAAAAAATAATTTATATGAAAAGAATTTCTTAAAATTTAGAATGATTTTTCCAGAAAGAAGAAAAATTAAAACTGAGGAAAAAAATTCAAATGAAACGAAAAACGAAACACATTATTATGGTGAAACAATAAAAGCTTAGATGCTATTCAATAATTAGCTAAAAAGCCTACGTGAATTTGATGAGATTTCAACAATAAATTATATTAAAACAATTTTTCTTTATTTGCTTTCCATAATTTGCTTTTTTCAGTTATTTAAAATTTTTTTGTAGCTAAAACGTTTGAAAGAAAGCGATAAGTTGGTTAAACAGATTTTCCCTTTTTCACTTGGAATCTTTTAAGTTTTTCGGTTATAATACACCAGTTTTTCCTAACTTTTTGCATAAAGTTTTAATTTTCAGCCTACTTAAATAAAATTTGCGTACTCTATTATAAAGTAGAAATCAGAGAATTGCTTTCTATTAACCAGATATTTGCAGTATAGCAATAATCAGGTAAATCCCATTTACACGGATTTATGTTTTAAATTCTACATCTTTCTCCATATTATATATGGGTTTGAGTGTCAAAATTCATTCTTTTCCGTACATATATTTATTTGATTGCGGTTTTATTAAATTGAATGAAGTGCACTGCACATTGCACAAGAAAATATTTATGTATGAGTGATATCTCTTGGAGTGGGTGAAATATTCTTGCTATCTCGCGGAATAACGGCTAAAATATTAAGGATGTTGGCAAAGTGATGTCTGCTCTCGAAGTTCAATGCAACCATGGAAACTCGAATGGACCGCCTTCGTTCGTTCGATACATTTTAGGATTTCGATTCTCTCTATGCAATCGCCGATTTTCTCCCATATTACTCTCGTTTATTACGATTTTGTCTTTCCACTTTCATTCGCCTATTGACGTTTTATTATAATATTTATCGATAATATCGAATTTTCAAAGGGTCGATCTAATCGGACTTAATTTGTTCGTTAAAATATTCCAACAATTCTGGAAATGTGGAGAATGAACCTAATCCTGGGACAGTCGAATAACGAACTATCACCAAGTTTTATCACTAGAATAATTTTTATCACTGAAGAAATTATGGCCTCAAACTGTTTAATTATTTCAATTTTATTTTCTTTCCACTTCAGTTCCAAACGTTTAATTTTTGAAGCATTTGGAAATCTATCAACACAATGTATTTTTACTGTTTGTTTCTATTGTTGTTTTAACGATAATCCATTATACGATTCGTTTTTTTTTCGTTTTGCTTTATTTATTATTTATTTTCAGATAACAGAATATACAAATAATTCAGCCGTTGTGAGAAAATTAATATGAATTTTGCTATATTTGTGTTTTTTTCAGCGACTGCTACATTTGCCAATCACCACGGTCATCATTTTCGCGGTAATCTATTGGCATTAAATTAACAATAAGTGATTGAAACTATTAATCGAATTTCCAACTTCAAAATACAACCAAATAAAAATAGAGAACGAAAGGAAGATTATAGAATTTAAAATAAAAGTTGCTTGAGTTCCTTAGTATTCTGAAAATGATTATTTGGCAAAGAAAATTCGTACTAATCGATCAGTTTGAATTAATCAAGTCAAAGAAGCAAAACAGATCCCAAGCACCATCCTAATTTGACTCTTAATAAGAAGATTTGCTCCCATTAAAAACTGGAGACTGAACCTTGAGTTGATAATCCAAAAAATGTCTTAGAAAAGAAGCAAGTTACCTAAGGTAATTTTCACTGCTTGCATTTTTATCTCCCATTATCTTCTTGGCGAACTATAAAGGCGTTTAATTTTAAGCGTTTAAGCGCTTTAGTTTTTAATTTCCTTTTTTATAATTTCGTTTTTGTCCAAATTTCATAAAATTTATGTACTTCATACTTTTTTTGCCAATTTTAATTTACTTCGGATGGATTGGCGTGAAAAAAAAAGTTTAATTAAATTTTGATATCAAAGGATAGAAGCGGTATCACTTCAATATAGTGATTATTACTCTATATTTTAAGAGAATTTTGCCAATTTCATAGCATATATTATAAGCCTTGCCTCTTATAAAGTTCCACAGATACCCTGATATTTTGTCAGAAGTTTCATTTTTGTTTTCATCTTCTCTCTTAATATTTCTAATCGTCGACTCGTCAAATGAGTAAGAATTCGCGTTACTTGAATGATACAACATAACGCCATCAATTCTAACATGGAATTTTGTATATAGTTCCATATTTCAAGAGGGAGATCAAATATTATCGCTTGATTGGCTTTCGACTAAAATAATTTTGCTGCCTTTAAAAATGATCGGAAGGTTTTAAGTGCTTACGCATCGGGCGAGAGAAAGAAAAACAGCATTTAATTTTGAAATTCATGGATAAATTTACTCGTGGGAATAAAGAGATTGTAGATTTAGATTGAAATTGAAATTTTCAACAAAGTAAAATTTTCAAATCCTAGTTAAATTTAGATGAGAAAATTTTTTAAATAATCTCTAATGCCTTTAATGATTGCTAAGATTGTTATTCAAAGAAAAAACTCAAATTTTATAAGTTTCAGTGGTAAGTAATGGCTGTATTCGTTTTCATAGGTAATATGTTAACTGCGAATTCACTTCAACGATTCCTTTAATTACGGCTATTGATTCTATAACTGATACAATCAAGGAGGTGTAAATAATAGTTTGGAACCAAATGAAAATCGAATCGTCACTCTGCATTCAATGAGAAGAGAATAACATGATAAATTACCGTGAAATTAAGTTAACAATTATACGAGATTAAATCGCTAAATCAATTTCCATCTATTTTTCTATTTTCTATTATTGCAGTGATAAATTGCTGAAGTCTCAAGATAAGAACTCTTCCTAAACGTTTCAATCACTATCTAAGATTTCTTGGAGATTTCCATTTCAAAGAGATTGTGGAGATTTCTTCAAAATTCAAAGTTCTAGAAAAGGTTTATCCATAAAAGGATAAGGAAAGTGTATAGTTGAACATGCAGATCTTGCGAGATTTCCTTTAAATAATGCAAATTTGCTGGAATTTTTAGGAAAAATTTTTATCTTTAGTAAGAGTTAAGTTTAAGAGTTAAAAAGATTAAATTTTACCTATTTTTTCGGATTTTCAGGATTTTATAATTTTCTCCTGGACTTGGATTTTTCAAATAATATTATTTTTAGCACCAATAATTGATCTTGGTGGAGCTGATGAATTGGTAGGTATGTTGCGAGAGGATCGAACTATAGTTAGCATCGTACCTGAGCTGAATGTGGTTTCTGACACTGGTGAGTTTCTTATCAAAATGCTTTTGCTTACCTGCTTGCTGGATTTTTTTTTATATTGATATAAATAGATGCAGGAAGTTTAATTTGAATTGTTCTAACGGATTTGGAAATATCATTTTTCTTTTTTTTGGTTTTCTTACTTTCAATATTTTTTTCTAACTAATTCACTTTATCAATTCGATGAAATCGAATCGCTCATTAAAAAAAACTTTTATCTAATTATAATCATTTTCCCATTTAAAGCTTTTCACATCTAGTTTTCCCTTTTTTCATTAATAAAATGTAATGAAATAAAAATAATTATTTTTTTGGGGAAAAGACTATTATTATTCTTCGATATCGCTGAGAAAATTTTGACTGAATTAACCATAATTTACGAGTGTGATATAAAAAATTAAACTCTACAGACTGTAAACAGAATTGTTTCAAGCAGATTTCATTTAATTTAGACCGGTCTTGGACCGATTAAGATGTTAAGAATCAGATAAGTGGTTAGCGCTCATCATTTCTGGTTAGGCTCATTCGGTTGGCCATTAAAAATTTTTGCTAGAGAATCACTTGGCGACAGAAATACAGCAACATTCATTATTTCATAATTACATGATTTTCATGATTTTTTAATAATTACAACACGATAATCTAAGCCAATAACTAATCAGCTATCCTGTCCCCCTTGCTAAGAATTTTTTTATATTTCTTGTTCTTAGGAATTATTTTACCATTTAGAATTATTATTATAATTTTAATTATTATGAGTTTATTTTAAAATTCATCAAAATTAGCATCAGCATTAACTAAAAAATTAGAAGATAAAAAACTTAGTTTGATTCATTCGTTAACTGATCATTTAAATAATACAGCAAAATAGGTAATGAAAAAAAAATAAAATTTGCTTGAATCTATTTTCATAAGGATTAAGAGTTTGTGCTTTAATATAAGACTTACTTGTCTTTTTCGGAGATTTCGAGATTTATGCGAGCCCTACAAAAATTTATGGAAATATAAAATGAAAATTCTTTTTTAGTTTTTTTGTCTAAATTTTATCTAAATAAATTTAAGCAATAGTTTTTTCTTCTAATAGTATTTCTGATTTGATTAGGTTTGGTAATTAATAAGCATGGACATAGAGTTAGCCACTTGATAAAATAATTGAGGACACAGATGGATCTCGGATTTTACTTTCACTCACAAGGTTTATTTCTGCCCAGAAGTAACCCATAATGCTTTAAGTCAGCCAAAGCAAAATCATAAGTCTAAAAAATTTTCTAAAAAATCTTACTGGAAAGATAATAAGAAAAAATTGTAGGCGGCGAAACAAATGATTTGAAATTATGCTGATTTTTCTGTTGAACTGTTGAAAAAATTTTGCTTGCAAATAGATTTTCATTTCGATATTTGTGGATCAATTTCTTAAAATATGCTTTCTTTGAAATTTCTAGCCAAAATCCCTCAATTTGTCAGAATCTTTTGTAACTGTCCAAAGCTCCAAAATCCTCTTTAATCTTCTTTAAAACCTCTATAAGCTCGCAGTAAAAAAATAAGTATGGAGAAAGACCTATGACTGACTTGTAATAGTCGTTATCTTCGATTTAAAAGAGATTAGAAACATAGCTAAATTTTTTCCTCGTATGCCATAAATTCTTTTTTATCAATTCATATTTAACATTTAATTTAATAATATGTAATAAATTAAATTAATAATAAATTAAATAAAATTTAACATTTATTTATTTATTAAAATTTCATTTCTTTATAATTTATTGCCTCGAACCGATAAACAGAAAAATAATTATGTTCGCAAGGCAAGTAATATCTTTACGTAGCATATGAAATTATCAAATAAAAGTAATATTCATCGTGAATATTGTTTGTCTTACTAGGTCCGATCTGTCATTATGAACTTTCGAATGATTCGATTGACATTATACCGTTTGTGGCTGAAATAACTGACGAAAAACGAGGACGAGGCGAAATTCGTGTTAAGGAAGGTGTTCATCTTGACTGTAGTACTCCCCAATTCCACTTGAACTTGGTTGCAATTCGCTGTAGCGATGAAGTTCGGTCTGAAAGGTTTCTTTCAAAATTGTATATATTTTTTACTTCTTAAGAACCCAATTTAAGTGAATTTTATTAATTTTTAAAAAATATATATAAAAACATTTAATAATTAATATAAAATAACTAGTACTTAATTTTAAATCGCTCTCATTTAGATAAAATTTCTTAAAATTGCTTTTTCCTTATTATTGCTTATTTATTACTTTGGCATATTAACTTATTAGAATCTTCTATCTTCAAAAACTGCGAAATTATTTATTATTTTATTATTATTTATTCTCTCTTGTTCGTTCAATTACGATTAAAAAAATTTCATAGATGAAATTTAGATAGATAACTTAAAAAGGAAATGTTAAAATGCTTTTTGCGATTATATATATGCGATTATATATTATATTATACACGCAAGATAAGGGGCTAGTTTGTAATTCAGATTGTTTCGTTGAGAGCTCACGGCTCCTTTCTCCGCCACGAGTTATCATTACTCATTACAAAATTCGGGTGGGTGATTTTGACCCATACTTCTATCTCCAAATGACTGAATGAAGTTTCCTTTTTTTCTAAAGGTTTCTAACAATTACAAATAGACTGCCAAATTCATCGAAAATAGCCAAACATTTAATAATGCAATGAAAAATGAAAAATGCATTAAAATATTCTCTCCTGTCAGATTTCTCGGTTATTTTCCAAAATTTCTTTAGAATTCTTGTCTAAGCAAAATCCATAATCCTTGCCACTTTTTTTAATTTAAAGGCCATATAAATTATTTTACTAATTTTTCAGCAAAAAAAATAATTCGGTTTAGGTATGATTGATCAGTTTTTCAGATAATTCAAATATAAATTAGTTCACTATTAATTAAAATTTATTTATTGTTTAGTGTTCCGCTTAGAATATCAATTCGCGACACGAATGACCATATACCCGAATTCGCTCAACCATGGTTCACCTTCGATATTGATGAAGGTTTCTTAACCTTAATCCTTATCACCTTTTTAAATGCAAATAGGGCGAAAACTTTTAACTTTTTTAGTTAATATATATTAAATTCTTAATGTTTTTCAAAAATATTTTGATGAACATTTCTGATTGTTTTAAGGAAAGATTTATACGGAAATAGCACGATTACAAGCGACTGATAAGGACTGTGGCCATCCATATGGTCAAATATGTCGTTACGAAATAACTAATTCATTGGATGGCTTTCCATTTGCAATCGATGATCAAGTGATTCAAATTTTTTATTCCATTTTTCTTTTTGTAAAAGAATCGTTTAATTTATCTATTCACCGTTCCATTCGATCCATTCATCCATTCGATTTATTGAACTAAAAATAAACAAAAATGATTTAAATTATAAAACTTTTTCCTCGGTTTTCTTGCAAATTACTTTTTTCTTTAACAAAAAATTTTAGCGTTTGCATTTTTTGCTTATGAAATCGAATTGATTTTATAGGCCGAGTTATTTAAAAATTTCGAAAAATCAACTTTTTCGAAAGATCTTAAAAATTCTTGCGGTGAAATTATTGTATTATAAATAAATGTTATCTGCGGTTAAAAATGTGATTCGTAGATTTTAATTTTCCAGGGCGTTTTGCGAAATACGGAACCACTAAATTACACTCAAGCAAAATCCTATATTCTTACTGTTGTTGCGCATGATTGCGGAATGCGACAGTCGAAATCCACTCTTGTCACTGTGAATGTGCGCGAAGCTTGTGTTGCCACTATTCTGAATGTTGAAGACCGCATATCGTACTTTCCAGGCTCAGGTGACAAAGCGATTGTACCTGAAGCTAATATTGTGACATGTGCTGCATCGAATTCTTGCACTGTGAAAAGCGTGGAAAGTATTATAACTCTGAAAAGTCGGCATATATATCAAGGGTGTGATCGCGATGATATTTTTTCGTCTGTTACCCAATCAAGGTGAATTCAGTCGAAAATTTTATGAGAAAAATATTTTCCTTTAATTTTCACGTTTTCATTGTTATTTGTTATACAATATATGAAATATTGTTGATATCATCTCGCTTTGATTAAGGTTGGTATCATAGGTTCGATTTCTGTGCCGTGACGAGTTTAGACTTGTCATTAAAAGGTGACTTCATGGCAGCAATAGCCTAAAAGTTTATACCATGATTCTTTATCTTTTATTAGCAAATCTTATCCGTCGTCTAAATTATGATCTTTTTAAGAAATAATTATTGCTTTTTTTTATTAAGAAATTTCAAACCAACCTTTTTCTAAAAATTCCCAAGTTTTAACGTAATTTTCCAATTCACAAATAACAAATTTTTCTTAGATGTGGCATTAATCCGGAAACAATTTCTCTTCTTCCGGTTGTGAAAGAAGCTGATAAAGAAAAAAGTAATCTTGGTGATAAATATGCTTTTGATGGTAAAATGAATGCAATTATCATTCCTCCATCGTTGGTTAAATCGCTCATTCCACAAAAATTCACGTTATCATTTTCAATAAAACATTCAAAGGGTTCTAAAGCGGAGCAAAGCATGAAACAGAATATTATCTGCGAGAGTGATCAATTGAGTAAGTTCCTCAGAATTTCAAATCAGAATCACTTGCACTTTAACCTCCAAACCACTCAATTCATTTTTGTGGCAATATTCTTCCTCGTTAAACTATTTCAAAATATGCCGATTTTTGCGCCTTTGCAATAAGCCACTAAATATTTATGTTTTCTTGATTTTTAAAATTTCTGTTGCAAAATTTTATATTTTCTAAAAATATTTGATTTTTTATTCTTTTTCAAACAAAATATGCGTACATTTCATTATTTTATTTAAAAAGCTGAAATCTAAAATTTTGTAAATTCAATGTAACCAAGATTAGCTCGATGTTAGATTATGGTTTAGATTATTTTTTCGCTAGAGTATTAATTGCGAAGAAATGCAGATAGGTCGTCAGCATCGGCCCGAAACATGAATTGCTCAAGGAAAAATTTGCTCATGCAGGGAAACTTAGCATTCTCGCTTCGAAATATAGACAACAACCCACTAAGCAGTTTCTTTTGATGGGTTAGCCTGACTCTTAAATGTCTTAAAAAATTTGGGTTTTTTCGAAATTCAATTTTCTAACAAATTTCTTATTTTTTTAAAATTTTCTGTCGTGCATATATTGGCCAAATTCGTTTTTCTTTATTTTCAATCTAAATTGCAAAATGGCTGACGATTACTTCTTTATCTTTTATCTATTAATTAATGAGAGAGTGAGTTCTCACCGTTACTGGTTAAACTCGCTCTACTGATTTGTCATATTGAGCATTATGCCAGGGACTCCCTTGAAATACAGGCGATGGAAATACAGGTGAGTCGCCAGCATCACCCTGATTTTTGTGCAGGTTTGTTTCTGCTTGGAATCTCAGCATCGGCACTTCCAATCAAGAAACAACCCACTGAGCCATTCTGTACCCTTTATCAGTTAATTAGTAAATTAATAAATGATTTGCTCGAATAAATGTTTGATGCATTTTGAAGGATTACGGTGATCATGAATATTTACAACCAAAAAAAATGAATTCAAATTTAAGAAATATTATTCTTTTATTTTTTATAAAATTTATATAAATATATAAGGGAAATAGAAATATCAAGAAGTAATCACAAAAAAAATTTCATTGATTTTAGTTAGTTCCTCGTTATCGCCATCCGAAATAAGTTTCGATTTTTTATTGTTCGAGATGAGACTTCATTTAATCGTTATAATTTGAATGATTTAATCTTCTCTAAATAATTTTTTTTGCTGAAATTTATATAAGAAATTCATAAAAATATTTCTTCTAAATCTGAAATTGCTTTTAAATAAAGTTAAAAATTATTTTAATATTAATATGAATTTCTTATATTTTGTTTCATAGTTTGATTGAAGAAAATATTATATTTTATATTTATTTACCAATGAAGGCAATTAAACGAAATGCTTTATTAAAATAAAATATTCATTTATGTGGAGATTATCAAGAAAATTTCGCCGCAAAAATTAGCAAAACCTATATTTTGATTTGAATAATTAAAAATAATTTGAATAATTTTAATTACTAGAAAAATAATTACTATTCATAGGTATTTTTGAATGGACTAGCTTTCTTTCATTTCTGCACCTCTTTTTTTCGAAGCGTTAGAAAATTTTTTTTAAGAATTTTAATTAGAGAATTTTTGAGAAATGTTTGCTCAAAGTACCACAAGATTTCAAGGACATTATTATGCAAAAATATGATTTAGAATGAATTTCATAATTAATCTAAAGGCAGCAGAATTCTAATTTGTGACAAACTATAACCACGATGAATTCGATTAAAAACATAGTTCACAGAAAAAGTTCTACACGACAAATTCCCAAAGCTTAATGATTGGTTTCTACTGAAATAAGTTAATAAATAAAAATCAAATTCGTACATATTAATTAATTAAATGCACAACATATATAAATTCAAATTTTTGCAATTTGTAATTTTTATCTATTATCCAATCACAATCAGTCTATTCAATTATTTATTATTTTTCTGTTATTTTTTATTTTAAAAATTAAAAAAAACTTGAGCAAATTTATCGAAAGTTGTCGCGAAAAAAAGAATTTTTTTCGCATTTAATGAATCAAATTTGTAAACAATCGATTGAAAACTTTAATTTTCCAGTTTAATTAAAATGATATATTGATAATTCGTTCAATGAAAAGAATGTAACATTGAAAGACGTTTCACAATTTTATAACATTTCACAATTATAACAAAACGTGCGAAATTGTTTAAAGGCCATATAGAATTAGAACCCTACTTTTTTCTCGAGTGATCTTCTCGAGCTAAATATATCAAATATATTTAAGATATGAATCGGCACCATTTTGCGGTATATATTCGCCACTGCAAATTGGAAATGTTAATGCGTCGTGAGAGTGATGCTGAAGCGGCCTTTCGTGCCGCCGAATGGCGTTGGAACTTGCCGGAAGTTTGTGATTCGCAATGGCACACTTATTCGATTTTGTTTGCTTCAGTTGATCAGGTTAATTGCTTAATGTTGATGTTATATGTGATAGATCTGATGATATTTCTCATAGAATACGCTCAAAAAACGTTTTCTTTATATATTTTCTCTCTTACTTAATTACTTAATAATTGAAAATCTTCTAAACGAATAGATAAATAACTTGTCTTACATTTTGTTAAGGTGGATTTGTATGTTGATGGCAAAAAATTTCTGGCAACTGATGAAAATCCAGAAATCCTCGATGATTGGCCTCTTCATCGTACGAAACAAACGGTCTGTGTCTCTTTTTAAATTATTATGAATTTTTAAATCATTATGAATCATAACTGAGATTTATTGCAGAAAACTCGTTTGGTTATTGGTGCTTGCTGGCATGGAAGAAGCCAATCTATGGCCCAGTTTTTCAAAGGACATATAGCATCTATGCTTTTTCTTTCTAACAAAGTCGAACAGCCTCAGGCTGTTCTTTGCGCACATCAATGTAAGGAACAACTTCAATTCACAGCTATCGATCAACTGGTTCCCGGCGAAGTATGTCCTCTTAAAAAAAAAAATTAATTGGCCCTTATATGATTAACTTATAAATATTGAAAATAAGTTTTTCTTGAATGGCAAGCTGAAATATATCTCGATTTTTGAGAAAAAATTCTCTAAAAACTTTCTGGCTTTTTCTTCAAAAATATTGAATGAATGAGGAGGTAATAAATAATTAGTACTAGTAATGACAGGTAATAGATAATAATAAATTGCATGTTTTCCTCTGACTTCATACAAAAAAGCACTTTTTTAGATTAAAGCGAATTTTTCATAAGAATAGCAAAGAATATTATCGAGGATTTGTGGATTATCGCTTGTGTTGTTTAAAAAAATTGTAGATGCAACTTTAGCTTTACGTTTCAACCAGGAAAAACTATAATTCTGAAAATAATTTTTGTAGGAAGCAATATTCGATAAAGAATCATCAGTTCTAACTTTAAAGGCGAATACGGCAGAAGATTTATCGTTGTTACTTCAAAAAGTTTCTTATATCAATATGATGCAGTCACCAACACCAGGTCATCGTGGTTTTCAGATTAAGACAACGATCAACTGTGCAAGTGGCAAATCAGTAAGCATTTATCAATTTATCAAATTTGTTTTATATATAAAGTATATAATTGGCTTAGCAAATTCTTATAATTTATGAATTCGAAAAATAGTTTTCTTTAGTATTCGTTAAACCCAACAAAAGGATATATTTTTGTTCAAAAAGAAATTGATCCAGTGCTTTCTATTAGCGGTATGCCTATTGTCAAAAGTGACCAGCAGAGCGTAAAAACTGGCGCTCGTATGTTACCAGATATTAAAATTACTGTTACGCAGAACTTTAACGGTGGTAAGATTTTGAAATTCTTTATCTGATATGCTCTTATCTCTATTTGATCAGATTTTCTCATTTCCTCTCGTCCTTAATGAATGAATATGTGCATTATCTTTTTTATTATCTAAATTTCAATTTTTTTATACAATCGCTATTAGTTCGCTATTAGTTTTTTATTTCTTTTCTTTAAATTTGCTTACCATTGAGTTTTTATTGAGAAATAAGGAGACGATGAGGAAGCTACAAGAATATTTTTTCAAAATAGTTATTATCTATTTATTTGTGATAATGAAAAAATATGATGGTTGATAAAAAAGCTACTAAGAAAAAACAATAGTAAAAAAAATAATTGAAGAAGAACAAGAAAAAACGAGCGAAGCGATGTTAGATTGGTGCAAAGTGCATTTAAAACCATCGCGTGATATGGAACTGGAATATTTCTCATCATCCGCAACACTTATCGCTGATTCGCATATTGATTTTGAACATGACAAGCAGGTGAGAAGCATATTCACTATGACTCAGCCCTAACTGGAGCGGTGAATGTGGTTCACCTTTTTAGGCAGAGGAAATATGAATGAAAATTGGAATATAAAAATTTTATAAGAAATGAATATTGCAGATTATTGCATTAATCGATTTTTTTTAAAGGAATATTATCATTATCAACTATTATTGCATGTATATCATATAATTTGTCCTCATCTAAAAATTCATCATTTTTCTTTTAAGGGAATTTTCTTAAAAGGCAAAGAAAAAGCAACAGTGTACCGTGATATACTCTCCAGAATCCATTATTTTAATATTCGCGCTGATTCATTTGACAAGCGTATTTATAGTGTTCAGTGTGCAATGAATGGTGGTAAAATTTCTAGTAATGAATTTCTTATCACGGTAAGTAATCGGCTTTTTTGGAAAAAAATGGCTCAGTAGGCTGCTGTTTTCATATATGAAAGAACCGATGCGGGGGCTCCACTCATAGCATGCTGGCCAGTACTGAATTCTGTCGCCAACTATCCTTGGTTATTTGCCTCGGTAAACCAGCGTGTCTAACCAGAAATGGTAAAACTCTTAAGAAAAAAAGTAATCGGTTCACTTCTGTAGGCTATGGAGCATTTGCAACTTTATTTTTTTCGTGCTTCGGAGAGCTTTTTTGAGCTTCCAATCAAAAATTTAATCAAATTATTTTTTTATTGGGTAGATTTTTAAAATTTTATTTATAGATGATCATTGAAGCACCAACCCACAACAATATCGCTAATGCTAATGCTGCAAGTGGAGCTGAGCATGATGCTGAGCCAGGCCTCGAACAAATAAACAACAATCGCTTGCAAAATATACTCGAGATGGATCTTCCACGACCAAATGCACTCATATCTCGCCATGGACATGCTGCTAGTCAAGGCGTTCTTGCAGGTTGATGACTTTCTTATGCCTAATATGTATGAATCATTATTATTTATCTTAAAAATACAAGTGAAACTTAAAATACTAAAGAGACGATTGAATGACGAAAACAGAGATTTTTCCATTTTAAAATTTTGCGCATTCGAAAATTGCTCGATTTGATTCTCACACGATTCGTTGCGAGGGATTACGGTATATCTTTCGTGTGCATAGTTAATTATTCAAGCTGAAGTTGGAATAATTATCTCATATAATGAGGTTTTCGAAATTTTTTTAGCATACAATTCATTCCATATTGATATTTTTAATCTTTTTGATAACTTCTAATGAGAGAAATAAGAAAAAATTTTTCGGTGGAGCAATTGCAATGATTGTTATTGTCTGTGTTGGCTTTTTGCTTGTACTATTGGTTATTGGAGTATTGAGAATGCAAGATTCGCCGCTTCCCCGACGCCGGAAAAACAGGAAAAATCCGGTTTGCTCTTTGTTTTTGCTAAAGAATCTGTAGTTCATTTGAGTGATTTCATACAATGATTTCATATTACAGTATGATTTCGCTGTGAGAATAATATGATTGGGTGGTGTATTGCATAGACTGAATTCAAGCATATTACGTTTTATCCTTACTTTTTGACGAGATTAAACCTCATCGTCTTTGCTTCTATCAAATAACTCTCTGGTTGTGATCGCCTCCTATTAGTTAATGGGGTCAGCCAGGCGTAAACAAAAAAACTCGATATCTAGGAAAATAATGGTAATATCGCAAAATATTGCGCACTGCACAGATTATTTGAGACGTCGCAGTTCCCATCACAGTATTAAACCTATCTATAAAGGAGGTGAGCCCATTCATATTTGCACCGCTGTAATGAAGTTTTCTCATCCTATGTATATCCAGTTAAGCTAATCTAACCTGGAATTTTTTGAGTTATAACCACTCAATTTAGGAAAATAGTATGGAGTGGGATAACAGTGGAATGAATATCACTATTAATCCACTCGAACAAGTTGAAAAAAATGCAGCAGATTACTTTGATGAAGAAAGTTCTGATGATGGTGAAAGGTAATTCTAATCAGAATTGTTATTTCTTAGATAAAATCCAATCTATTATATTAGTTGGACTAATAAATCAATTCAGTTTTATCACTTCTTAATGATCTTTGATCTTGATGAAAAATTTTTTTCAATTTCAAGGAAAGTTTATAATGCATTTTATAAGATATATTTAAATTCTAAATATATCTAATTTCCATGAAGGGTATTTCCTTAAAATTTTGTAGAACTATGGCTGTTTGATTTTTATGCAATTTCAGCTATCGAGAAGAAGGACTTACCGATGATGATGATGATGTTGAAATGGCTCTACCACACGTTCAAAATGGTAGGTTAATCTATTAGATAATGTTCACAGTTATTTATCAAAATCATTTCGTCGAATTTATTCCGGGAGGCCTAAAATGGTTCAGTGAGTTGCTGCATTCATCCTGGATCGATGCTAGGGCTACACCACCGCAGGAGTAAGCTTTTTCAAAAGTAGGCTCTAGTGCTAACGACCTACCTATAGTTCAAACCAAGTGAATCTAATCAAAATATATTTTACACATATTCGATCAAATTTGCTGCATTAAATCTCAAGATTTTCAATTAATTTATTATATCACTTTAATTTATAATAAAAAATTAATTTACTTACTTCCTAATTAATTCAGTTTATTTATAATAAAAATTTATAAAATTTATAGAAAAAATACAATTTAATTGGAAATCGGAAAATTAATTATATAATTTTTGTTTTTCATCTTTTTTTAAGCAATATAGTTTTGTTATTGATAATTAATATTAATTATCAATTATAAATTATAATTATAATTATAAATATTAATTATAATTTGATTATAATTGCATTTTTGTAATTGTAACTTAATATCTAATATCTTTTAATATTTTATTCAACAATATCGCTTAGATTGATAGCTGGAGGGTAATTCTTGTTAAAAATTAAATCCTTGTGATACTGAAGACCTACTAGGGATTTCTCTGTCGAGTTCTCTCTGTTCTTTAAAAGTCATTAAATCTGGCCGAACGAAAAATGATGAATCCTATGCTAAAAAAATTTAATTATAAAATAATGATGGAAAGGAAATTGTAAAAATTATAAAGTTATTTTTTAAATATTATTTACATAAATAAATAGTTTAAATATTTGCGAAATATCAGAAAAGTTTTCGCTATTTTTGTGAATTTTACAAATAATTTTTCTTTTTTGCTCGCACTTTATGAATACAATAAATTTAGGACATCAGAATAATACAGGTCTGGAGTGGGACGATACAACGCTTGCAAATGTAGCGCATACGTACCGAGTATAACGAGATTACTAATAATTTTTATATATATATATATTAATTAATATTTACATATTTATATTTTACAAATAATTAAATCCGATTTTTTGAATTTTCGACACTTTTCTTTTAAAATAATTGCTTAAAGGCAGTTGAATCTCTTTTTTCCTTTCTTTAACTTCGTATTTATTGATTAAATATTTCTAATTTCAATTATTGCAAGGAGTTTCACTTTTCGCAAATTTCTAATTTACATCAATGGACTTATGGATTTTACTTTTGATAATGAAAATATTTTTTAAAACAATCTGTATAATGTCTATTTCATTAGAATACCATTTAATATATATGCCAAGTTTCGATTTATTTTTTAAACTCACCATCAGCCCTTGGACTGTAAATAATTCATCATTTCTGAATGCTTAAATTTTGGAAAAATGAAACTCACGGAATCTTGTTCCCCTCTCTCTCGTTATTCTTGTTCCTCTCTCTCTCGTATAATCGACGTGAATTAGAAATTTGCAAAAAAATGAAACTCCTTACAGTAATTGAAATTAGAAATTTTAATCAATAAATCCCTTTGTCATATAATCGTAAAATCCCTTACCAGTGGCCCTCCACTATTATCTTCAATCATACGGTCTATCTACCAATCAATTTCTAAATTTATTAATTAATGTTTTTTGATATTAGTGTCTGATAATTTTCTATTTCTGCTATTGGTTGTGATTTGTTGCATATATATATATATTTCGTGTATATTTAAATAATCAATTTCAATTGAAGAATTCCACTGTTCATGGAAAAACAAAATCTATGAAAATAAACTGAAATTCAGCAATATACACGAGTTTTTTCTAGTTAACTACGAATTTTTCCCCCTAAATAAAATATAATTTAAACGGTTTATAAATGTGTCATATTTATATTTATGTAGTTTTTTCTGAAAAAATAAATGTAAAAATTTTTTTGTGGATAAAAAACAAGAATTTAAGAAAAATCAAGAATTTTCCATAACAATCCATATTCATATATATGATAATTTGTTAGTATGATTTCAACTATATTCCACAACTTCACAAACAGATAAGGGAAAAATAATAAAATAATGATAAAAAGGAGTATAAACCTTGCCAAATCCGCAAAAAAAATATTTCCTCAAAATGATTTACGCAACAAATTATCTGACATCACGAGAAGGTATAATAGATATATCAAAATAATAAATAATTTACGATAAACAAAGTATTAAGTTAACAATTCTTTTCCCAAATCCTTCTTCGGAAGCGAAACCCTTTTCTCTTTTTGTGCATTGTTCAACTGAAAAAAGCATGAAAAAATGTCTTACAGTATCTACCGAAATTAACAAAACTAATGATTAAGTAATAATTTCATCACCAACCTTATCACCAAGTGAAAGAGCCATTCCTTGGCTTTTCGCGCGAATTCTTATATGACCAATGATAGAACTAGACGGGTCTACCATATTTACTTTCTCGATAGATATATTCGCCAAGGCATCCTCGCCAAAAATTGAATGGGCACATAAATTTGCAGCTAGGAAGCCACAATCACCTTCTTAAAAGGTAATATTGACAAAAAGTGAGTAGATAGAAAAAAAATGAAACGTACATAATGATGCGAAAAAAATTTTTTTCTACTTTTATTTTTCAATTTTTGGCTTGAAAACATAAAAGTTTACGCAAAGCAGCATCTGTAGTGAGAAGTTTCATATTAGCAACACACGACAAATGAGAAAGAAATTCTCGCAAGTTAGTTATCTGCGTATTGACGTTAACCTTAAAAAAAAAAACAAATTAATTAGGAATTTTGCAACGAACTCTCCATTTAAAATCATAGATTCAATAACTAATCAAGAAAAAATCGTGAATTATAATAATAAACATTAATTATTTCAATCGAGTCTCTTTGATGCTAATCTATCAAACTATTTTTCTTTTCGCACAACTTATTCTTCTTTTTTTTTCTCGTGATATTGATAGGAAGGTTTAACTTAGGCTTGAATTTGCTTGGTTTTCACTTTCATTCCATTTGGTACATACTCCATATGCCAAAAATATTGTTAAAATGAATATTTAAACAAATATTCTGTAGATTTTACAAACGTTAGAACGTTTAAATAACATATTGTACCATTAAAACGATAAATTTTAAAATTTTAAGAAATATGTATGTATGGAGTTTTATCACTTATTATAATAATACTTTTTAAAAAAAGAACTTTATTCTCCCATTCAAATTCAGACCACATTTTTCGAAATTCAGCATCGGTACAATTTCCTGGAACTATATAATCCATAATATCGATGTGAATATCTTGAAGATAAACACAATTACGATCGGACGTCGAACCGCGAACATCATAAGCAATAGTTGAGAAAATAACCCCATTTTCAGTTGACGTAACTTTGACAGTTGCCTGTAATAAAAAAAAAGTAGCAATAATAAAAAGAAAAGGGGAAAAAATCCCGAATTAAAATGTTAAGTTATAGAGGTAAAACAGACAATTTTAATAAAATTACCAAAACATACCTTAATGTTGGCAAAATCATGAGGAGCAAGCGTTATTGGAGTAGGTTTATCTACAAGTTTTAGGTCACCAACCGTCGAAAGTTCCAGAGAAACATTTTGGAGCGTATCACCAGTCTGATTAACAATTAGGACATCCAGTACTATATCGTATTGATTAACATTCACGTAAGCTTCAGCATAAACAGGATCCGAAAAACCAGCTAGCTGTTTAACCTGAAAATTATATTCCCTGCAAATATTTGAACAAATACATCTACAATTAAGTAATAAGTATTAAATGAAGTTAAATATACCTTCCCGAGCTTAGAAGAGGCAAAATCGAACTTAGTAGTTTTAGCCACTGTTCCAAGCGCTTGAGACAAAGATAGATCGAACAAGTTCTCTGTGCCGGTAATAGCATCACCAATTCGAGGAGCTAACTGGGTGAATAATATTGTTCTATCCACCTCCACAATAGGTTTTCTAAAAAATTTTTAATTGAATACATTATTCTACTATAATTATTCTACTATAATACATTATTCTACTATACTTAACTTAAAAATTGCGATCCTGAAATCCTCACCTTAATGTTGTATCGTTATTATGCTTTTCGCTTTCGCCCTTGAATTCCAACATCAATTCTAGGCTTTCGCGACATTTGTGCAAAAAGATATCTTCGGCTTCAGGCCATTTTTCGCAAAGTATTTTCACAGCAGTTCCTAGACTTAAATTTCGAAAAGTGATAGAATTGAAATCATTCCAAAAAAATAAAGAAAAAAACTGTATATAATAGACTTTAATAACCTCTGAACGAAATTTTTTCCATTTGCTTGTGCAATAATTAATTAAAAATTTTACTCTGAAAAATTCTAAAAAATTTAAATCATAAATTCTTAATTAATCCATTTTTGTAAACGATTTCCCTTTTTAACCGGTTTTTCATATCCTTTAATTCTTTATCGACAATAAACATATCAATTTGAGAATTTTTCCATAATGCAATAGAAAAATTACCGAATAAGATCATCTTCTGTAATATTTGCTTTTGCAATACCACTTTTACCAAGATGAATTATTGATGAGAGCATAAATAAAGCTTCGCTCGCAAATGCATTCACTTTTTCTGATTTATCTATAATTTTTTTTAAAAATAAAATAGCATTATTAATTGGAAAATGAATATAGAACACAAAGATAAAGAAAGATAAAGATTTTGAAATTGACCACCGAGTAATTTGCTCTGTTTAAAAACCAATTTTATAAGAGTTGTGGCTAATGAAGAAGCAATAAAAAAATTTCCATCCAGCAAAAAACGACGTAAAGTTGGCTTTTCTTCCATCTTTGTTTTCGTGATATTCTGATTGAGCAAAGCTGACTGAGTTGCGTAAGTTCCATCCGCAGTAACCAACTGTCTAGTCTGTAATTTCTTTATTTAAGACAGACGGTAAGCAAAAACCATCTGATTTGAAAATGAACTTTCAGCAAAAATCTACAAAACAACATGGAAAATACTTGCAAAAACATTCCGAATCCATTCATTGAATGAAAAATGAAAAAAAAATTTACTTTAGGCTTTTCATTAATGTTTTTTTCTATCATTTCCTCTTCCCTTTCGAGCGACTGCAATTCATTTTCAACAATTGGCAATTCTCCAATAGAATCTTTTATTAATTTCATGGTACGATTAATAGATTCTTTTGTTTCGCAATATTCACCAAGAATCCACAAAGCAGCGCGAAAAATTAAAGGAATGCGAATGCAATGAAAAATATCCTAAACGATAAAATAAATAGGCATATTGTCTACAAAAGATGAAAAAAACTGGCCGCACAATTTTATAATATTAGTAAGAAATAAAAGTCCCGCGTGGCAGGAAAGCTAAATCTATACAGAAAAAAGATAGTGGAGCGGATTCCCAAAAGGAATTGTTGTAAAGGTAGAAAATTGAAAGGGAATAACCGCGCTCTCAACGAAATTTCCGTACTGCTATAAAATTCCCCCTTTTCTGTACATGGCGCGTCAGCCAGGAAGACTCGTTGTTCGAATTGAACTTTAAAATAAGAATATCAATCAATTATTGGTCGATTATTGATCAATATCATTTGGATAATTCTTATTGAGAAAAGAATAATTAAGAAAAGAAAAGAAATATCGACAGTCAAGGATCGATATTCAGGGAAGCTTTATTGATTTGAAAAATTTTTTTTTGAATTTTCGTAAGAGTTTCTGTATTTTGTCATTATTTATAAGTTTATTGATTTGTTTTTGAAAATTTGAAAACTTGTTCTGCTGCGACCCGAGCATTGTCGAAATGATCTCCTTATTGAAATTGAGAATTGATACCTACGCAACGGAATTAATTGAATGCTTAACTAAAGTAGAAGGTTTTAAGACCTTTACAAATTTAAAACACTCACAAATAGAACTTGCACAGCTGGAAATAGAGCAGCTTAAGTCAGATATCAGCCAAATGGCCCAATATGTTAGTAATGGGATAAGAGAATGGAAGGCACTAATAAATGCTCTCAATACCAATACGCATGCTAATATAGAAGAATATAAATTGATGGCAATAGGTACTTACGACTTATTCAACAGGCGCGTCAACTTCAGATTTTGACGTCATAATTAGACGTTGCAACAGAAATTTAAACGACAATAAGGCCACAGTAAAAATGGAGAAGACAGAAGAGGAGTCACAGAAACTTCAACCAATAATAAAGCTGCTGAAATTACAATTGATGAAATTCGATGGATCAAAAAGGAGTTGGTTCGCATTTAAGGACAACTATCTACCGTTGAAAATAGAAGTCTTGATCCAGTGGATAAACATAGATATCGCATATCCTCGAAGGAGAAGCGAAGGAATTGGTAGAAGGATTCTCTATGGATGGTGAATCTTACAGGAATGTTTGGAAAATTCTGGAAAGCAGATATGGAGATAAATCCATTATTATTAAAGAATTATATAAAGAATTAAGAGAATTAAACCCAAAAACAAAGGATATAAAGGATATTCGCAAGGATTTGAAGCGAATATTTCGCCAGTTGACATCCCCAGGTGAAGATAACAATAATTCGATTTTGAGTGGCATAAGCTAAATTGCCAATACATGTGCTAAAAAGAATACTAGAAGAAAAGAAAATGGGATATAAGCGAATTAAGAAATGTAATGATAACATAATGAAGAGGAAGAGCTCCTATTAAGTAGAATGATAAGGAGCAGTGATAAGGAAAAGTTGCCGAAGCAAGACTATAAATAATTTTAAAAAATAAGATAACCATGATAGTTAGAACGTATCAAGTCAACCATGGTATCGAGTAAATTAGTCGTGAAAATGAATATTAAAAAAATGCATATTTTGTAAGAAAGAACATTGGAGTCACCAATGTTAAAGGACAGCCTCTTATAAAGAGAGGCTTCAGCTCCTAAGAAAGCTTCAACGATGCTTTTGATATTTAAAACTCGGCCATAGAGCAAGCGAGAGTTATAGTAGAGTAAAGTGTATGAATTGCTCCAAGGACCAAAATACCGTATTATGTCAGGAAAAGAGAGAAGAGCGGCAACAGAAAATCCAACAAGATCAAGAACAAATGATAGTGACCACTGCCAATTTTTTAAGAGAAAATTCAATAGTGAACGAAGTATTTTTCCCTTGCATGGAGATATTCGTTATAAATCCACTGAAACCAAACAAGAAAATTCGAGCTTTAATTCTATTGGACACGGGAAGCCAACAATCATATATTTCAGAAACATTACGAGAAAAGTTGCAGCTTGTAGCAAGAGAACAACAAACAATTCCTGTATCAAGCTTCGCATCAAAAATTCCCCAGAAGTACCATACCTCGATAGAAGTAGGAATAATACTTCATGATGGCTCTATATTCAAGATAATGGCAAGTACGATGACACAATTGACATTGCAAATAAAATACATGCAGTTGGAAGGATATCAATCTTCAAGAACGGAAGGTGTAACTAAAATGGCGAAACCCGATATATTGATAGGCTCAGATTATTATTTTTCCTTATGAGATCAGGCGTAAAGAAGGAGAGAAAGGATTCTGGTTGATATGTAATTGACTCACGGTTAGGTAAAATATTTGGGGAAAACTTGTAATCAGATGTTACAAGGTCAACGAAGAACATATCCTAGTTTCGTAATCTTCACGGTGTTGACAGAACAAGATCTGTTGCAGTTCTGGGCTCTAGGACAGACCCAACTGACTTGATGGATGATGAAGAATCATATGAACAATTTGAAAAATCAATCAAAAGAAATGAGGAAGGAAGATATGCCATATCATGGCCTTGGAAAAGTACTGATCCTAAAATTGAGTCAAATTTTGGTCTTGCTTTTGGTAGATTGACATCCACTTGGAATAAACTGCTAAAGGATGCAAGTTTAAGATATCAATATGATCAAATATTTAAGGATAGATGATAAGATAATCGTTCCTTCAGAAACACCGTGCTTTAAATATTATATTCCACATCTTCCGGTTATCTCTCCTGATAAACAGAGTACAAAATTAAGAATAGTATTTGATGCATCAGCGGTTATTAGGAAAGGTTATTCGTTAAAAAATCAATTGTATAAAGGCCCTACTCCTATTCCACATCTGGCTGGAATTATTTTAAGGCTGCGATTGGGAAAATTTATTCTAATGGCGGACATAGAGAAGGCCTTCCTTTAAATGGTAGTGAACGAAGACCAAAGAGATGTGACGAGATTTTTGTGATTAAAAGATGTGGAGAAACCACTATCGAGAAATAATCTACAAATATATTGATTTGCCCGCATGCCTTTCGACCTTAAGTGTACTCCCTTCTTAGTATCAGCAGTCATCAAGCACCGTCCAAAACATCCAATGGCACATTTGCAAAAGAAGTATTAAAAAATCTTTACGTAGATAATGTTTTTCTGACATTCTATGAGGAAGAAGAAACGCTTAAAGCATATAAGGAACTGAAGAAAATTTTTGAAAAAGCTCATATGAACTTGAGGATATTTGCAAATAATAGTGATGAAGTAAATCACTGAATTCCTCAAAACGATCTCAGCCCCGCAGCCCTGGACACTGGAAACGGATGGCGAATAAAAATCTTAGGGATTGATTATAATTTAAAAACGGATCGTTTAACATGGTCCATTGAGAGATCTCCACAGGAATGTAGTACTAAAAGACAAGTATTACATCACTCTTCCGATAAAGATCTTGCAAAGGCTTTGGTCGGATAAATATAAGCGGGATCAGAAATTTGATGAAATAAAGGGTCGACAATGGCGAGATATAATAAAGGAATGGCAACTGATGTCAATACAAATAGATCGACCAATAGAGTGCATAAAGAATGAATGTAAAAAGGAGATTCACTGCTTTGTGGATGCATCGGAGAAAGCTTAGGTCGCCGTAGCCTACATAATTGTTATTAAACAATATCATCAAGTAAAATTTCTGATGACGAAATCGAGAGTGGTACCATTCAAAGATACTTCCATTCCAAGATTAGAATTACTGGCCGTCCTTATCGGCTGCAGACTCATCGATTTCATCACTAGCCAAATTGGAGTTCATGTAGAAACACCACAATATCTGTGGTCTGATAGCAGAGCTGTCATTGACTGGATCAAAAACGACAAAAAAGAGCAGCAAAGATTTGTCCAAAATCGAAGAAATCAGAAGACACCAATACTTGTCAATTTATTATGTGCTCTCAAAAGAAAATACCGCAGATGATGCTTCAAAGAGAATGACCACAAGGAAATTAAAATTTTCTCCGTTGTGGTGGCAGGGTCCTGGTTGGCTAAGCTATAGGAAAATTGGCCAAAGGAGCCCCCAATGAAATCATCCATCAAACCGTTACAACATTACAATTTTCTCAGGAAAGCAAAATCATTAAAAGTAAAATCAGTGAAGAGATTGAAAGGATAAAGGTAATTGATACATTGATACATTATCTCAGTAATTGGCGGAAATTAATCGGGACAATCGTATACGTTATAAAATTTGTAGTAAGAACATCAGAGAAGATTCGAAGGTTAGTCAAGCATAGCAGCTCGAATATGAAGCTTCTGGCAAAAACATGGTTAATTCGTCAGTCGGAAGGAATAACCTCAGAAGATTTATTAAAATGGGAATATCAGGACGAGAATAATATCTATAGATGCAAAGGTCGTATTCCCAATAATGTAACATCATTCCTTCCTAGAAAGAGCAGAGTTCACCGAACTCATTAACTTCTATCTTCAACTCATGGTCACTGTGGTACAGCATACACGCTGGCACTACTACGGCAAGAGTATTGGATTAATATTGAAGGGTAGACAGACTGTAAGAAATGCAATAAGGAGAAATTGCATGAGTTGCAGGAGATGGATTGCTAAACCATTTAAACTACCCGACATGCCCGATTTGCCGGTTTACAGAATTTAGCAACAACGACCCTTTAAATCAGTTGGGCCAGATCTTTTTGAACCTTTTAATGGGGAGAAATCATAGTCGTTAAGAGGTGGGCAATTCTCATCACTTGCTTGACAACTAGAGCTATATACTCAGAAATGGTCTGAGATTTATCAGCTGCTGCCTTTATCCATATATTTCGTAGATTCTCAGCCAGGTGGAGTTCACCAACTACAATTCTATATGATAACGGCATGAATTTAGAATCAGCAACTAAAATACTCAGCTCCCAACTGGTAGAAGGGAGAGTAGATTGGAAATTTATAACGCCACATGCGCCCTGGCAAGGTTTAGTTAATGAACGAATGATTGATATAAGGAAAATGGCCATGAGGAAAATGGCAGGCAGAAAATTGATATATGAAGAAAAATTCAGAACGCTTTTAGTGGAAGTGGAAAACATTGTTAATTTGAGACCATTAACATATATCATGGAAGAACCCTGCAAAATTATCCGTCCTATTGATTTGATTTGTCCAGAAATGCAGGGAATAAGAAACCACTTACTATTGAATAAGGATGAGGATGAAGACTATGGCAGATCGGAAAGTTGTAGTAGAAATTTACTCTTAAAAGGATGGAAAGAATCTGAAAAATTACTCCAAAGATTTTGGGAAGTGAGGCGGCAGGATTATATCAACCTACTTCGAGAAAACGCTAGCCATCAGCATCGCCGTTCGAATGTGAATAGAAGCCCAAAAGTAAATGAAGTCGTTTTACTATGTGAGGAGAACAAAGATAGAGGGATCTGGTAGTTGGCTAGAATCGTCGAAGTAAATGATGAGCTTCAGGGAAAAACTTTAAATCCCCATAAGATAAGATCGGCAAAAATTAAGTTGGCCAATGGTAAAAAATTAATTCTCCTTTCAGTATCCTTTCTCTAGAAATTACGGAGGAAGAGGAATCCATCTCTAATGAACACTCTACACACCCAGACACACCATTAGGAGGTTCTTCAATTCAGGATGTGATGGTCTTAAGGAACAGAGAGGTTCCCAGATGTGTTAAATCCCATATTAAACAAAAAACTCTACATGAAGTTGTACAAAAGAGAGAACCATCATTTAAACAAGTTAGATTCTTTATTCTTATTGTAGTCACCTTCTTTTGTGTCAACGGTGTACGTGGGCAGGTTCACAATATTAATTTCTGTAATGATCTCAAGGAAGGTCCATATTTTACTAATAAAGAAGAATTTATAAATGAATCAATTCTTAAGAATAGTCGAGATCATTATTATCTTATTATTAAACCCAGATGGAAACTGATAGGGATGTTTGCTCATAGTAGCGATTATATGTTTACCAGATTTTGTCAGGCGGCAGTGTCTCCAAAAGACGAAAAAAGCTATAAATTTGAGCAAATCAACCGGATTCCCACCCATCTTAAATTAAATATAAGCTCCCAAAAGATCAATTTTGGTCATTTTTGTGTTTTAATAGGGGAAACGAGTGGGGGAGCGGTGGGTGAGTGATGGGCATTTAGTTTTTATATTTGATTTCTTTGACTGTATTATTTCGTTGTAGTAGGGCAATTACTTCGCTTTATTTTCTTGTATAAATTTGCGTCTTTACTAATAAAGGTTTAATTACCCAATTTTGAGGTTCGCAACGAGACAAGTAAGAAGTAGAATGTTGGCCGCACAATTTTATAATATTAGTAAGAAATAAAAGTCCCGCGTGGCAGGAAAGCTAAATCTATACAGAAAAAAGATAGTGGAGCGGGATCCCAAAAGGAATTGTTGTAAAGGTAGAAAATTGAAAGGGAATAACCGCGCTCTCAAAGAAATTTCCGTACTGCTATAAAATTTCACCCTTTTCTGTACACGAATTCATCAATAAAACATCTTAAAACTATCTTTAAAAAGACAGAGCTGAAAATCAAATCAAAACTTAAGTCAAAAAATTTGAATAAACAAATAATTTAAATAATTTTTTAAGCATTTTTTGGATTAATAATTATATACGTACCAAAAGTTGTGCAATCACAACAGGACGTAGATGCGGCAACTTCTGCACTGCCTCTCGAATAAAAATTAATACATCTTGGGCAGCAGCCTCACTATCTTCAGATAAGAATTCCATTAAAACAGGGACAATGTTGGCGGCAACATCAGGAAATTTAATAGTAGCAGAATGCAAAGTTCTGACAAGCATTTGACGATATTGACCAATTTCCTCTACAGTGTCGTCTGTTGACCGCCCAATTTCCTTAATTTTAAATATTTTTTGAAGCAAAAAAAAAGAAAAATTATTTCGATGAAAAATTTACGTTATCAGGAATTTGGAAATGTGATATTCAAATAAATAAATAAATGAGGGTGGTTTTAAAAAATTTTTCCAAATAATAATAAGAATACTATTACCGAATAGTAAATAAGAATACTAACTTTCCTGAGAAACATAACCATTTCTTCAACATTTCGAGATGAAACTAAATCTAAAGCGAGTTTTAAAGTCTTTTTGCGCACTTCTAGATCTGATGCAGAAAGCACTCTTAATATATCCATAACCAATTCTCGCAAAACTTTATCGCTCGTAGGAGATGTTCTTAGATCAATTAGACGATCAAGCACAATCAACTAAAAATTAAATAAATTGAATTTTATATGAATGAACAAAAGAATCAGAATTATCAAAAAGGAATGAATACTTAATAAGATTTGTAACTTTATGTCTCTTTTCCTGTGATTTTCAGTTAATAAAAATATAATTTTAATAAAATTAAAAAAAAGGACCTTAACATTGTTGTCTGATTCCTTTACAATTAAATCGATGTAAGCACTTGCAGCAGCTTTAATTGCTGTTGGCGCAGAACTTAATGTAACTAAAGTACCAGCTGCTTCATATCGCACAGCGGCTGATGATGACTGCAGTAAATTGTAAACGCAACGAATAAAACGGGAACGTTCTGATGGGTTAGCATGACAGACCTTAAAAGTATGCTAATTATGATTTAAAAAAATATAGAAGAAAAACTCGAACTTTCAAATTCTATTTTACAGTTTAAAAAAAGGTGAACCCACATCAAACATGGAAACATGGAAAAAATGAAGCATGAAATATTTTGCGAAAGCAAAATAAATAACAAAAACGAATGGAATGAATGAAAAAAGACATAATAATGTAGTTATCAAAATAAAAAAGAAATAAAAAAAATAAAAAATAAAAAATTTCTTCTAACAGCTCTCACCATTACTGATTAGGCTGGCTCCAAAGGCTTCCAACGTTTCCAAGCGGTGCGGTCTGGTGTCACCGGCAACAGTAATAAAAGCCACTCCTTTTTTTATCGATTAAGACCATATCTGCCCACGTATAAAAACTTTTCTAACCGTATCAATCCAGTTCTTGATTAGCCCACCACGTTATTGATGCCATTCATCATAGGGTTTAGTAACGAAATATGCGTCATCTCCTGTGGTGGATGATGAAGAATGTGCCCTAACCAGCAAAGGAGACGCTCATTATTAACGCAAATGGTATTTGAACGAAGGTAGATGCGATCATAGGATACTTTGTCTGCTTGACGGACCAGCAAAATGTACCTTAGACAAGAGTGGCCAAAGGCAGATAACTTCTTCATATCCCTCCATTTCTCACAGCCATATAGTAAGATCGAACGGATCACGGCTATATAGATGCGGACTTTCGTTTTTATGATGATTTCACAACGACTCCATAAAGGTTTCGTCAGCTGGAATAATGAAGCTATAATCCGGATTAATATAGTCTTTTTCCTGACCATTTGGTATCAGAATGGGTCCAAAGTGTTTAAAATCGGGCACTTCCTCAACCGAAATTCAATTTATAAAAAGAGACATTTCATCAGCTTCTTGCAAACAAGATGAAAAGATTTTCTTTTATTTACATTAACCTTGAGTCCAATTTTCAGTACAGTTGCTGATACTTTATTCAGCATTATTTGCATTTACATATGTAATTGTCAGCAAAAAGGATTACATCATAAGCATATTCAAGATCTGTGATACGATGCATTGGACTGATTTGGACACCCCTTGAGTGCCGACAAGCGGTATCCATTATCCAGTCTATCGCATAGTTGAATATTGTGGGGGAAAGGACGCAGCCCTGACGGACATCTGTTCTTATTTCGAAGGAATCTGTCAGTTCCCCATATGCACCGATCGATGTACGATCATAAAATGCCTTTATGAATCGAATGATCTTCTCTGGAACACATTTCATTTCGCATTTCATCATCCTCCAAAGCTCCTCTCTATCAATTGAATCAAAGATAACCGCAAAGTGAAACACGTAACATTGGTTGCAAATATCTGAAGCGATGTTCCAACATCTTTCAACACGTGAATATCTGGTCAACACAACTGCGCCCGGTCTGAATCCAGCTTGATTAGAAGGCATCTGCTATCCAATACTTCCATAAGTTTTTTGAGTAAAAAGGATTCGCTGAGACGTCTAGTAGGCTGATTTCTCGATAATTGTCGAAGTATGTCCTATCACCTTTCTTGAGAATTGGGAGTTGAAAGTTGAGAATCAGAATTGCTTTGCTCTAATCATCTGGTAATCATTTCTTTTTCCCCATATATTTGTTGAAGGTGCGTTATGAAGGACGACGGGCAGTATTTGAAGAGTTCAGCCCGAAGACCATTTTCTCCCGGAGTCTTATTAGCCTTAAGCTTATGGATAACGGAGATTATTTCTTCTTCTACTGGAGGCTCGCAATTGAAAGCATATGCTTCGGCTAACGTATCAACTATATCAGAGGCAACAGATGACGCTTCATGGCCTCAAAGTTTACCCGTTCCATCTTATGAGAAGGTCCTTAATAGTCTTAACCCACTGCTGTCCCTTACATTTCACTGATTACTCCTGTTATAGTTGCATTATGAAGAAACAGGAATAGTTTCCTAATATCGCCTAATCAAGCAATCGTCTCCATTCTCAAAGCCATGTCAATAGTGATTTCTGTCCCGCTGTGCTGCTTTCGTTGTAAATCTTCAAAGTATCCGGTAGTCAGGATTACCTGACATTCGTACTTTGGCAATTGGACAGTTGCTTCCGACTAGCGCACTTCCCACTAGTATGCCTAGAGTGGAAGTGGCTGATTTTCGGAGACATTCCTTTAGTTTGGACCAGTATTACACCGTTCCAGAAAAATCATTGATATTTATACCACTGAGATACTTCAATAATTCGGTTTGAAATGCGCTCACTTACCCGGATTTTTATGGATAACGGAGATTATTTCTTCTTCTACTGGAGGCTCGCAATTGAAAGCAATATGATTTGAGTTTGAGATACTTGAAGGATCTTGGGAGATGTTGTTTTTTACTCAATTTTATGCGTATCTTGACTGGAACCATAAGATAGTCAGATCCATGAAGATTGTCTATTTCACCGCTGCGATAGAAACGACTATCAAGTACGGAACTCTTCCAACAGCGACTGATTAAGATATAGTCAAACTGGTTAAAATGTTGGTTATCCGGGAGATACGATTAGATATTTTCTACGATGGCGGAAACAGATATTAGTAACAAAAAGTTCATGTTCTTCGGAAGAAAGCGTTCCCCATTGGGGACGGATTGGGGACGGTCTTCATATTTGCCAATTATCGAGATCATCGCAGAGGCATTATAATCTATGCGTGCATTCCAATCTCCCCCGATTATGACCATGTAATGTTTCGGCAGAGACTTTGTGGTAGTTGAAGTTCCGCAGAGAACTTATCTTTATCACGCTCATCTGCCAAAAAATTTGGGATATAAACACTAGCGATCGAGATATTGCAAAATTTAGCTTTAAAACGGGCATAGGTCATACGGGTTTCCACTCAATCAAAGCGGAATGAGCCTCGTTAGACATGACACTCGCTATGCCACTTCGCTCCTAGTTATCCGAAGCACCACAGTGACATAGCCAGTAACTCTGCCCCAATCCAGGATTAACAATTACGTGACACCCTAAATGAGGATAAGAGGATGACGGACCTTCGACAAGCAGGCGATATCCACACGATATTTAGAAAGGGTGTGGACAGTGATCGCTTGACTTACAACGTCCATAAGCGTTGACGTTCCACGCCGATACGGCTAATACTTCGCCACTCGTGCTTTTCCCCTTGATAGATTTCGAGCAATTATCCTGGCGAGCACATTTTATTTATCAGCCTTGGTATCGCTTTACGCCCTGATTGTATACTTATCGCATATATCATCGGGCTGGGAATATCAAGAGCATCGGAAGACACTGTATAAAGAATACCTAACCCTTTCACCATAGAGATTTCACTTGGGGATAGAGTTACAGGTGGGTCCCCAGCAACCATCCGGATTTTTGACATGACAGATTTATTCCTATCAAAGACGGACACATTTCAATTTTTTATTTAAAAAAAAAAAATTTAGTTCGTATTTTATACAAAATTTAAAAACATTCCAAAAAAAGCGAAATACAACCGCTCAAGATTGGAAAATTTTGAAAATAAGAGGCAAAAAACTAACCTTATAAATAAGTTCAACAATAATCAACTGCAATATGTCACCGAAGGATGTAACTTGATCCATAACATCAAACAAATAGTCTAATGCCCGAGACTGGTCAACATGTAATAGCATCATGAACGCATTTCGCTTACAAGACGCATCCTGTTCATTATTCAATACATTCGATATCAATTCTGGTGCATCAGGAATAAGATCTTCGAAATTTCCTAAGAGTTACTATATAGAATAGAAGAGGGCTAATAGGACTTAAAAAATGGCAAAGAAACTCACGGTATATTGTGAATATGGCAAGAACAGCATTTCGACGTACATATGAATGGCGATGCTCAAGGCAAGAGCGAATGGCAGGCATAAGTGGCTCAAGCAAATCGTGTTCGCGAAGTTTACAAAGAAATCTAAAAAGGAGGTTTATATTCCATTATATTCTAGACAAGAATAACACTAAGACTAATAACAAAAGCACCTTAAAGTAGATCCACGAATAAATTCATTAGGATGTTGAAGATCTTTACGATATGCGTCACAAACGAGGATCATTTCATGCAAAAGTTTACCATCGTTGTCAGTCTGAAATTACGACTCATTTAAATAAATACTAGATGCGTGAATTGTACGGAGATGGCCGAACTTAAATTTTCATAATATTATTAATTACTTTTGGTACAATTTCCCAGAAAAGAAGTAACAATTTTTTGATTGTATGATCTGATGTAGGTAAACAGAAGCGAATCACATTCATCATAAGGCTTGGACTTAGTTTTTCACCATTCATAACCATCAGCATCAACTTTTTCAAAGCATCTGCTTTCGCTTTATTATCGCCTGTAGAAATATTATAACCTTAATAACCTTAACCATATTAAATATTATAACCTTAAAAAAACAACAAACACAGAAGCAAATTAAAGCAAATAAATCAGAAAGCTTTTGCACTATTTTAATTCATATTTATCAACAATAATGAAATTCAGTAGCAAATTCCATTACCTTTTTCTAATTTTTCCTTCAGCTGCGCTTCACTCGGCGCTTCGAAATCACTTGGGATATGTAATAATGTATAACAAGGCAGTTCAGCTGATGTCATAATCCTTAAATCTGCTGCAACAAAATTTAATGCATTTTGATGAAAATTCAAAGAAAAGCATCAGAGTGGAAAATATATGGAAAATCGAATAGAAAAATTGAATAGCTAAGAACAAGAAAAGGAAACAAAACCGACAGTCAAAAACCGATCAATCCTTTAAGTGAACGAAAAAGCAAATGGAAAAAACAGTGTATCTAAACCTATCTAAACCTGCATATATACATATATATATATACATATACTTTGTACAGACTGATAACCATTCTTTTCGCATAAATCAACCACTGTTTTATAAATATGGCAAATAGGCAACGTCAAAATAATTCTCCTCTATTACAATACAACTTTGCATATTCCATCAAATCCCGTGATTAATACGATAAAAAAATTATTTAAAATCTATCTGCCAAGATTAAATTCAAATTCAATGATTTAAGAAATGAGAAGATTATGGAATAAAGAATATCTGACAGAAAAACATTTCTTTCGTTAAGCAAACTACTGCATGAAAATCCGAACTGTTAAAATAAAATGGATAAGTACCATTGGGAAATCAAACCATTTCCAACTGATAAAACAAACAAAATTGAAAGTGAATGAGTAAGACAGATCGGCGTGAATCTAACCAACAAAAAACCCCTCAAACAAGCAAAGTATGGCTGAGAAAATAAATTGGATAGTAGCCAAGTGGACAACAAGAAGTGAATATTACAGTAAAAATATTTTCGTTTTAAGAATCAGAAATTAGAAGATCTATATATTCCGCTCGCATCGAATTTGCGCATTTTTGACTTGATTAGCTGGTGCACTGATGGCTTATTTAAATGATTTTGTTTGTGATCTTCGCAGATAATTTCATAAAAAATAATAGTGCCGAAAAGCCATCGAAGAAACTATTTGCAGATTTGAGAGGAGTTTTCAGCAAATACTTAAAGAATCAACGAAGTAAAATAAATGAAGTGGGTAAAACCTAATGATAAAAATTAAACTTCGAAAGAAAAGGATTCATTAAATTCTCATTTTGAACTTAAAGTACAAAAATTACTAAAATGCAGATTGGGTGACAATCCGTGCTGATTTCTAGCAGCAACTGATTCATTCGGTTGACGAATTTGTTTTTTCGGATTCGAAATGTGATAGGATTGCAGGTTGGTCTGTTATTTCAGAGGTGCCGCGGCTCGGTCTGCTGTTTGACTGTTGTCGAACCCCTCGTTTGCTCTGTTATGTCCGATCCAGTATTTGATCTGTTTTTTTGTTCGCTGAATTTGTTTATTTCATTTACTTATTTGCGTTACATTTGTTCGCTGCATTTCCGTGTTAATCACTTCGAGTTTATCTTTTTTTAATTTATGGCGATGAATTTTTTGATTTTGATAATAATTTAATTTAACAAACTTGCAGTATTCATCAACATTTCGATTTTATTTGATTTTAGGTTTTTTTCTCGAATTGCAGTTCGGTGAAAATTTTTTTGAGGAGAAAAAATGGCAGAAATTAATAATCATATGGAGGCTTATGTACGTTTCATTATCGAACTTACCAGATTTTTTAAAATACAGTTTTAATTATTTTTTGTTGCCCAGGTATTCGCGGTTGGAACAAACTTCAAATGTCGGCAGTCCAACACCATTGTTTTCTTGATTTTACCTCTGTAATTCGACTCATTTGGTAGAGCGGGTGCTGTGGAGGACAGTGGGATGCGGCAGTGTTACAGGCAGTTCGACTCATGAAAGCATTTCACTGGCATACATTGCCATAAGTCTATATAAAGGGAACTGATGGATAGATCTTTTCGAAATAAGAACTGGTGTTTTCAGGATTGCATCCTTTCCTCTGCAATATTTTATTTTACTGTATAGAATAATTTTTATTGTTATTTAATGTCTGGTCGGGCAAACCTCATCAGCATTGGTAGTCATCAGTCTTAGACAAAAAAACCATGATATAAGTTATAATGATGAAAATGGAAATGCATCGAATTTTTGTCGTTGTTATTCTTTAACTATTTTTTATTAATTACTAACTAAAATGGTTTAATTGAGTGATGGATTTTATTATGGATTTTATCGTTTGCTGGCACTCAAGAGGCACAAGTCAATCCAGGGCATATCATAGGTTGTGAATATGCTGATGGCGTAGTTTTTTTTTACTGATAGTCACGAAGAAATGCAAGAGGTATTAAATAGTGCATCGACAGCTGCAGCGAAAATTTAGGATCCATAAAAATAAAATTAAAGATTTTTCGTTCACATACCAGATGCTGATAAATACCCTATTTTATCATTGCATCATGGATTGCCACACTTTAAATGTCTTCGATCTACTCAAATGGCTAAATTAAAGATGAAATTTGATTAATAATGGCAGCTACAAAAGCTTTGATCAGGCGAAATCGCTGTGGAATCGTCTCGAATTTAACCTCAAAACGAAAGTTCGCATATGTCTGACCGTTGTATGTACCATTTCATTATATAACTGCGAAATATCGCCAGTGAGAGTGAAAGATATTAAGAAGCAATTTATCTGTAATCTTTTGGCATCCAATCTAGTTTAAGCACGATTTGCATGAATAGTATCGTTAAAGAGCGTCACATATGGTGATTAGACTATGTTCTAAGCTACCTAACAGAGGAACTGATACATATTTTGCTAAGCTTCAAAACCTAGAAAGCTTAATCAAGATTTGGATTAATATAATCAGGGAAAATTTTATAAGCGGTTCCGCTATGTGGACTTAGATTGTGGAGAAGGGTTGGATTATGTTGCTCTTGAGTGTGGATCAAGCGACTTGGAAATACTTATCCTTATATCCAGTGGAACCAGCTTAACCAGTGATGGTGCGAGCTAGAAAGAAGAATATTGTAAAAAAAGAATAGTAATAAAAAAATTATTTTTTATTATTATAATTATTAATTCGTTAATTTTTTAAGAGTTTATCAAGATTTTATTTTGTCGTTAATTATTCATTAATATATAATTACCAGTTAAATTTTATATGATATTTTTTCTTAATTTGCAGATTAATTCAGAATTTGTGTATTTTGGTGCTACACGATGTGCAGTTATTCGTCCAACAACGATTATTGCAAGTGGAATAACAATCAGTGTCAAAGATTCGATAAGCAATGAGCGATTATCATTTCGAATTGCTTTTAAACATATTTTAAGAGCATGGGTTAGAATTTTCGTTCGAATTTTTTTCAATGTTCAAAAACTGGATTATTGAATTATTGAATCACTGAGTTTTATTTTATTTTAATTATTTATGCTTATTTTTTTTGTTTATACATTTCTCTTCATTTTTCAAATGATTTGCTTCAATATTCTTTAAAATCCCCGTATATTCGTTTAATTTTATAGATCTCAGAAGGAGTAGCTCCGAAAGGTCTTGTATTACTTGTAAGTCCATTTTGTGCACGAAGTGTTCGTGATAATCTTAATATATCCGAACCGAATTTGTCAAGTAATATAACATTTGATCCTCAACATTCACATGCAGCTTTCAAGTTAGCTTCATTTTAGTTTTCTATTTTTGTATATTTTTGAGGGTATTTTAGTTGAGGTGAATGTCGCTTCAGATTAAGAACTAAATGCACTCGATTTTATAAGTTAAATGGTGCTTTATTGTGCAAATCAAAAAATCTCCTTCCTCCAAATGCAAAATGAAAATATCGCAAATTTTAACGATGTTCCTTAATATTTCTAGGCTATTTCATTTACTGTGCAAATCACAAGAGCAGCATCCATCAGCCTCTCTATTTTAGGTTTATATAGCTAAGAGCAGTGATTTGCATTACATGTGTTGGGAGTAAAACTTGTCATTAAAGTCAATAAAGTCTGAATTATTGTTTGGATCTACTTGTACCTCTATTCTCCAATGATTTTATGGTAAAAAAAATCAGTCTCCAAGAAACAAGCAAGAAATATCGCATTTGGAAAAGAATAATTCAGTTGTGCATCTTATTATTTAGATATCTTATAATTGATATACATAATTGTTCGATGGAAAATTTGCTGAGAATGCAGCGAATTTTGGATAATATTCAACGACTAAGAACTTCAGCAAATATAAACTCGCAGAAATCTATATTTTTCAGTAAGATTGTTTTTTTATTATCCTGTAGTTGTTTTTTTAAATTTTATCGTAATGTTTCCTTTATAATGTCCATAATATATTATATAATATATAATAAGAAGAAGAAGAAAATATATTTTCTTTTTAAAAAATTCTTTTGTTATAAATATTGAAGAATGTAATATCGTACAAAATTTCTTTTTATAGAGATTCGTAGATATTTTTTTTTGGGGTAATTCTTTTCCTTTTTTTTTCTCTTTAATATAAAAGAAATTTTGAGTAGTCTAAAATATTTTACCATTTTTTTTTGATTTTTTACATTTTTATGTCGATATCTAAAATCTGGATTATGAAAAAATTTCATTTTTGTGCTTTTTGATAACTCTATGAGATCTTTTTTTGGTTCTCTTTTCTGAACATATTTTATAATTGCAATACATTCTTTTTTATTTGTCCTTTATTTTTTTGCAGGTAAAATGCGGGAAGTGCATTATCATAATTTGTTAGCTGAAATTGAAACAGTTTCATCATCATATGTATCATTCAGTGACCAACCTTCTACGACTTTATCTCCTTTAAGTCAGGCTCAATCAACTTTTAATGGTCAAGGAACTGTACATCAACCGCAGCGAAATTGCGTTCAACAATCTTCAATGGTATATCTGATTTTTATCATTTAAAACTTGATTTCGTCGTTATTACAGTCATTTAGTATTTTATCTTAACTCTGAGTCATTTGATACTTGATAATTTTTGTGAACAGTTTTTTTAATATTTTTATTTTATATTTTATGAATCATCAGTCTTATTTAAAAAGGATGAATGGACTAGGCATGTAGCGAATAAAATCATGGGTAAAATTTATTACCCAGATTTTAAGATTTATATTTTTAGTATTATATTATATTTTAGTATTATATTTTAAAAACTGATAATAATGTTCAACGATGTCCTTCACCTGCTCCTAATGTGTCTGATTCACGTTCAACAAAATCCACGGTATATTCTAGTGTATCAAATTTGGTTGGCAGGGTATGTTTCATTCATTGAGACTTATGCATTTTAAATGAAACTCTTCGTAAATAAAAGAATAAATACCTGCTGATAACTAATGAAATTTTTGAAGGCATTTTATCGAAAATTTTATTAGGAGAAGTATATTCTTCTTGTTTAAAAATTTATTTTCAAAAATCAAAATTTTTGTATTTCATATTTCATTATTTCATTCAAATTTTATAATTTACAAAGAATTTAGTTTTATTTTATTTTTTTAAAAATTTTTAGCCAAGCACATTTTTGCACACTGAAAGGAGAACGAATTTCTTTGAATATATGTTAAATTCATCACAACGTTCGAAGCAGTATAGTACTGGAATGGAACGCAAACGTTATTTTAATCCATTTTCGACTGAAAGATATGGGTCTATCCCATCATCTTCTGGTAATATGGCAACGAAAAAGATGAAAATGGATTTGGAAAATCGAATCGTCCATACGATTGATGAAGATGAGGCGAGTTCTTCCACTGGACAGAAATTGTATTTCAGTGTTGTTTTTTTCTTTTTTTTCATTTAATATGAATTATTTTAGTCTAATGAAGCCAACTCTTCCCATGCAAACGACATATTAATGCTTTATCCACAAGGTGAACGTGGTGCAATATCTTTACATTTTGCGGACGTGGAATATTTGAAACCTGATCAAATGCTGAATGATTCAATTATAGATTTTTTTCTCAAATTTATACATCGTGAGCTGATTCCAAAAGAAAGGTCAGTTAGATTTTTTATTTCAGTTATTCAATTTTTGATTTTATTTTTCGCATATTTTATATTCTTAAGTAGAAAGTTATTTTATTTTATTATTTGATTTGATTTTTGATTTCAAAATTTGATTTTTTTTTTATTTTTCTTTAGAAATCTTTTTTCAGGCGATCATCTATTTTTATTTTCAATTCATTTTTCTATGCTCGTTTAACTCAAACTTCTTCTGCATCTGGTGATGTGTTTACTTCAGCTGCAACTCGATCTAAATGGGTTTATATACATTTACCTATAATACTGCATCAAATTCATGCTATTTACTTTCATTATGAATTCTTCTTGCTACTGATTATCTCGAAAAAAATTTTTAAGAATTTTATATTTATTTCTATTAGGTTGCAAATAACTATAAATCTGTGCGAAACTGGACGAAGAACGTCGATATTTTTGATATGGAATATGTTGTGGTTCCAATTAATGAAGATATACACTGGTAAAACCTATTATTCTGTTTTTACAATTTTTACAACAGTTCGTCATATAGGAATGTAATAAGTCAGGATATAATCTTAAAAATATAAAGATAAAAGTAATAGTTCGTTAAGGATTTTTCAAAAGAAAATCTTTAAAAGTTGGATTTTTTCATTTATTAAGTTAATGAATAGTATTTTGATCATCTCTTGAATTTTCCTTTGTTTTCTTCCACATTATTCAAGTTTAAGGTACTTAGCTATTATCGTACGTCCTGGCTCCGCAATTTCGGCAATTGTGAATGAATCTTGTAATTCATCGAATTCGCAGATGGTTAAAATAATGAATAAGGATTATGGAAAAAAGCCGGAAAAGAATGAATACCAACAAAAACAGTGTTTAAGATTCAAGAAGGCTCAGATTATAATATTTGATTCTCTCGTTGATGGCCATTTCTCGAAAAGGTTCTCGTTTTTTTACTGTTTTTTTCTTTTCAATTTTTATTTCAAAATTCCGAATAATATGGATTAAAGGCTAAAATGAAATTCGAATTTCTGTTGAACTTTTTAAAATTGGTTTTAATTTTAATTATTTATAATTAAAATTATATTCTCAGTCCATTTCAATGCAAATTATTTATTACAGAAGGCATACAGCGACTATATTAAGAGATTACCTAGAATGTGAGTTCAATGATAAAAAGAAAGATTATTCGCTTGAACAGTATTATTGCAAAGAACGAATTGAAAAGGTACCTCATTTAATACATAATGTGTTACTAATGGGGTCGTAATTAGATGCATCATTTTTCGATAAATAAATTTTGATTTGCGTTTCGCTACCAGAAGGTAGAAAAAACAAAAAAGGGTGGTATTTTCTTTAGATAAAACATTCTCGGTTCCGTTTTTACAGATTTTACCTCGATTTCTTCCGCAGCAAAAGAATTACACAGACTGTGGGCTATTTCTTTTGAAGTATTCATATCTGTTCCTTCTCAGACCACCTTTGGTATTGTGTTAATTTTTTATTGGAATTTGTAAAATTTTTTATTTGGTTATATTGTAATACTAATTAACTACAATTAACAACTACTATTAATAGCCATTTGTAGCCATTTGCCACTTCTTTTAATACTTTTTACGGAGTGAATCAAATTTTTAAATCTTCATAAATTAAAAAAAAATGAGAAAAGGAAGTGGAAATCTCAGGTTAGGATCGCTTTTCTGGCTGGTACCACGCTTAAAAATTGTTGCCAGTAAGTCTTGGCACCATCCAAATTTTTTAATGTTTAATTTTGTTAGAGGTAAGTCGGAACAAGGATATTAGGTACTATAATCTGAACTATTAACCACTCAGCCATCGCTCCTTATTGTTTTAATTATTTTTTACTGTAGTTCATATTGCATACCGATTCTTTTATGCGATGGTATCCTCAATTCACTATCGATGGAATGCGAAATTTTATTTTGGACAAAATAAAATCTTTATGTAACCATGAAAAATGGGTTCAGTATGAGGAATTCTCAAAAAGATTTGGTTGTGAAATTTATTCCAGTAATATGTCATCCTCATCATTATTCAATCAATTGAATTTTGTTTCAATGCGATCTGGTATAAATCTTTTATATTTTTAGATGATATTTGTTTGAAATTAATTTTTTTTTGCTTATGAATAAAATGAATTGGCGAATAGTCTTTTAATGGTTATATTTTATTTTTGAGAAACTCTAATTCATAATTTATTAAATTTTATTTCGAAAATAAGTCCAAGACTTGGTGATTATGCATTTTTAGCTTCACCTCTGCCTTTACGCCGTACGCTTAGTGCTGATGATATTGAAAGTTCATACATAAGAAACATCAGTCGAAGAGCGGTAACGCCGTGATCACATTTAAATAATGGAGAAGTGCATTAATATTACGTTTCCATATAATTTACGGGTTTTATTCCAATTATTCAATGGATTTTTCATTTGTATTATTTAATCTATATTGTATTTGATTAACTGTGTTGAATTCGATAATCTGTTGAATTCAAATTTCAGAGTGGATTTCAATATAGTTTTGTAATTTCTTTTATTTAATAGTTTTTTATTCATTTTAATTATTCTTTTTTGTGGCTTTTTGTTTTTTGCTTGCACTGCTCTTTCATGAAATTTGTTGATCATTTTCCAAAATTCGAGACTTCTAGATCGAATATCATCTGAATATTAAACAAAAAATAGAAATATTATGATGTAATTTTGTGATTTTTAATTTTTAATTTAATTTAAAAATTCAATAAATCATTTCGGCAATTTCATCAAAATAGTGTATATTATTCATGGTTAAATATAAGCTTATTTATTGTTGTGCACTATTGAGAAAGTTGAAGTTGAAAAAAAAATTTTTCATTTCATTTTTTCATTTTCATTGCAATCACAATAAATATTATTCCCGTCAAAATTATTAATTTTTAATTCAATTACTTATTAAATCGATATATTCGATATATTTGCTTTATTTTTTATTTTTTGATTCAAATGGACCTAAGCATCAAGTGAATGGTCCTTTGGACTTCTATCTTGTTCATGTTTTCATATTCCACCAAACTTTGGGGCATTTTAATCGTGTAAGGCGAATTTAGTAGTGGTTTCGGTGTTTTCAGATTCAATTCTTTATCAATTCTTTGTTACAATAAATCATCCAAGATGTCGATTATGTCATATAGCGGTGGTTCAGTATTGGCGATGTTGGGTATAGACTGTGTTTGTATTGCGACTGATCTTAGAATTGGCGAAAGAATGACAACAATTGCGACAAATGTTGAAAAAGTAATATTGAAATGATTGTTTTATTGTATTTTGATGCAAGTTGAAATAAATTAAACCCCTAGTGTTAGGGTAATTGTGAGAATTTTTCTAAAAGCGCAGGAAATTTATTTCAACAGGATTAGAGACTTAGGTTTAAGGACTTAGGCTTGGGCTGATGCATATAAAGTAGGTAAGATATGGTTATAGCTGTAGATTGGTATATTAAACTATTAAATTCATTATAAAAACGGAATGATCGTTATGGCCGTTTTTTCTTTCAGGGCCTTTTTTAACGACCATTTAAATAAAATTTTCAAAATTTTTTACAATTTTCTAATTATTATTATCGAATGATATATCCAATAGTTTCTAAAAAAACAAGCAGTTTCCTGTTTTGAATCATTTCATTAATTTTATTTCATTAATTTCGTATATTTAGGTGCATAAATTATCAGATAAGTTATATATCGGCCTCGGTGGTTTCCATTCTGATGCAAAAACCGTTTTGGACAGGATTATTTTCCGGAAAAATCTTTATGAATTGCGAGAAAATCGGAAAATAAAACCAGAAGTAATTTTTTCCAAGCTCAATAATAAGTAATGGGCATATATTTTTTTATTTATTCATCTGTATAATTTATCTAAATTTACCCAATTATTATTTATAAGATGAGCGTTGGAAATTCTGCATTTTTTTTTAATTTTAAATCTCAGATATATCTCTTGTTTCATAAATAAATAAATTTCAATCGATTTCGCTGTAAAAATCCAGCATGAAATTATTTCAGTTAGTCAGATTTTTTTTTGCTGTTCCCATATCATTCAATATCGCTCAGTATATATGTATATATTTCAGGTAGCAGCAACGATGATCTCGAATTTGCTCTACCGACAACGCTTTGGAAATTATTTTATTGAACCAATAGTAGCTGGCCTCGACCCAGTTACAAACAAACCTTTCATATGTTCCATGGATGTTATCGGCAATATTAATCAAGCAAAAGATTTCGTCGCTTCAGGAACGGGCTCTGAATACTTACTTGGAATTTGTGAAGGTGAAATTTCAACATTTAACAAATATTCAAAATTCTGTTAATCCTGCTTATCAATTAATGTATTAACTACCTATTCGCATATTTGCAAAAATACTCATTGTTTTCAGACAGTTTTGAGAATGTAGTGATTTAGAAATAAGACATAAAAAGATGTCCGAAGATTTCATAAGCATGTTTTACAGATATGTCGTTTCGCAAATGATTTTATAGTTCATTAAAATTATATATCACGAATTACATGGTATTTATCTAGGATTCTGGCATGCTGACATGAATGTTGATGAATTGTTCGAAGCCACAGCTCAGGCTATGTTAGCAGCAATGGAACGCGATGCAGCTTCTGGTTGGGGTGTTGTTATATATACAATAACCAAAGATAAAGTGAATATGAAAACGATAAAGGCTAGAATGGATTGATACAACTTGTTTATTTTATTTGTTAATAAATATTTGGAAGATCTATTTTTCGGTGATTTGCTGATTTTTAGTAGGTTATTCAGTTAAAACTTCAAATCTGGTCTAAGTTCGATAATAGCGCAGAAAGCCTAAATTCTGATACTGATTCACACATATTTAAGAATACGCCTCATAATATATCTTTTTAAATTAGATTTTTCCAAAAATAAGAGGAGAGGGTGGCTAAATAGACCTTTTTTGTAATGCATGAATGCATTAGTCATTACCAATTTGGTCAAAATAATGGAGAGAAGAAACCTTTGGAATCTTTATATCGATTAATTGATATAAGGTTATAGATGTTTCAGAAAGATAGGTTTAAACAATTTCCATGCTGAAAACGACTGATGCTAATCGAATGAAGGTTTCTTTCAGTTAGGTAAACAGTAAACTAAGAATGGTAAAAGATGACTATGAAAATGGATTCTGAAAATATAACAATATTTACAAAATAGTTTGAAGACCAGCGATTTCGTGATTTAATAGGCTTTTCGTTTTAGTATCTCGGGACGCCATAATACTGGATGTGTCTCTTCAGTCTGAAAAAAACATTTAGAAAATTTCATGAAATTGTCCTTCATTATATCATAAAATTTTTCAAATTCCATTAATTCTTGGATAAAAACGAAAAAAAGGCTGGTTGAACTTACAGCGGTATCATCTTCTTTGTACATCTTAATAGTTTTATCAGCTTCAGCCGTAATAAGACGCGCACCAGATCGATCAAAAGTCATTGCAAAAATACCAGCTTCCGAATCAATCGAACCAGGTTGAGCTTTGGTTTGTTCCCGTTGGAAGCAAAATCCACTTTTCCAATCCCAAAAATGAATCGACCCATTATCAGCTACAATCATTGATTTTCATAAGGTAGTTACTTTATCTAATTCATCCTAAAATTTTAAAGTTATTCCTAAAATCTCTGATTTGATTTTATATGAACTAAAACTTTATTAACTAATTTCCTAAGTTATTGAAATGAAAAAACAAAGAAATATTTTGTTAAACCGTTCAAAAAATAAAAATAAAACCTCCAGAAACGAACACGCCATCTTCATTACATGCGAGAGTATTGATTATAGCGTTATGACCAGTAAGATTTTGCAAAAATTCTCCATTTGGGCACTTCCACTGTTTAATATTATCAGCACTACCTGATGCAAATAAATAGAGAGTTGGATGAAATACCAATGCTCTTACACTTTTCTGCAATTTGAAAATTTGTGTCATATAATACTCTGATACGATGAAAGTGGTAAAATTATATGAAAAAAAGTGAAAAAATCAAACAATAAAGCATTTGATAATAATAATAAATTTCGCAATAAATGAAAGTTTACTTTATGATGAGTAAGAGTGACTATGCTGCGTCCAGATGCCAAATCCCATAAACGTATTGTCGAGTCATGGCTTCCTGTTACAATTTGAGGATCCACTGCTTGCGAAATTACAGCTGCGACCGTGTTTGTATGACCACTGAGACAATGAACCTGTGCTTTGGTTCTCATATCCCAAACCTGGAAGAGCTTATCGCAATCAATCTGCTTATAATTAATAAAAAACTCATTAATTTTTTTGATATTTAATTATCCAAAAAAATTTATCTACGATATTTATATCAACCGATATCTTTCCAAACCACACGAAACAAAAAACATTAAAAAGACATTAATTTTAAACCAGAAATTCGACAAACTACCCAGATAAATAAAAAAAGAATAGATAAATATGGATAAATATATACACGGGCTGTAGCATCTCGCGCACAGGTAATGAGAACATCAATAGTCGGATGAATAGTGAGATCTTGTATTGCACTTAAATGCCCATGATAATGACGTATTACCTTATTATATTCCAGATCCCAACATTTCACCTATAAGAATAAAACAAAATCAAGAAGTCAGAAATTCGAAAACTTATCTTATTTCTAACTAAAAATGACAGTGCACGAAAAATTTGCCTAAAAATAAAGGTATATTCAATGTTTAATACTGAATAAATTTCCTCCATTACCTGTTTATCTTCACCGCCAGTAAAAAGAAATGGATGCCTATGCGATACTTTGCAAGCCCGAACAGCACTCACATGTCCCGTTAGTGACAAACGGAGTTTTCCACTAGCAAGATCCCATATCTGAAAAATTCTTTTATGCACCATAGATCACCTTTATTTCAAAAAATAAAAAAAACCTTAACAACACGATCACCACCTCCAGTGACGAACCATTCATTACCAGGATCAACATCCACACAACGTACCCAGCCAGTGTGACCGGAAATCACACTATAAAATTTTAATTTAATACTCAAATACTCAAATACTTAATACTCAAATATTACCAACAGATTAACTACTTTAAAATAATGAAAAGACAATGAAAAATACAAAACCGATAAAGCTTCCATGGAGCATGCCAAACAGGTTTCACCATAACTGGTGCTTTAGAAGGCAAAATAGCTCGAATCAAATTGTCTTCTGCTTTATTCGTTGCCGACATTACGGAATTTTCCTTCAACCCTCTAAAATTATAAAATTACTAAAAGAAGATAAATTCTTCCGCTGCAACTAAAAAATTAATCGCAGTATAAGAATGATCAGAAGAAGAATGCACAATCCAAAAATTGGCTGATCCAGTTGGAACTTCAAATCCCAAAAAAGACTTACACGGAACTTTCTAGTGAAGCACTCCCGTTTATGGTTAATAGTCCTGAAAATTCTTAAGAAAAGTCAAACGACAATAAGTTAACAATTTAGAAGAAATGATAATCCAGATTTCTAAAAAATTAGTAATATACCATGACAATGAATAGTAAAAATTCAGAAACATTTGTAGAAAGTGGCTTGTTTGTTATGAAAAATTTTAAATATATTATTCGTTATCTTTTTGACAGACAACCGCAAAAAAATTTTTTCGTGGAAAGAATTCAAGATGAAGATCAGAGAAAATTTAAGAAAAACCTGGAGCAATGGTTGAAGAAAGTGATGAAGAAATTGTCGAAGTATTATCGGATGGAATTGTTGGAAGTTTCAAAGCTTCGGCTTCCTTTCGACGTTTCGCTTCTTCAACAGATTTCACCACATCACCATATTCACAACGAACTTTGACCGATCGCCAGAGTTTGTCACTATAAAAAATGCTCCAAAAACTAAATTCGCAGAATATTAGCCAACTAGCTTGCACTTATATAAGTTTATACCATTTACAAGTTTAATAAGTTTATTCTATTTAACTCTATATCCTTTTCTATGGTTTTAGTACTTTGCTGGCCAATGCAGATCATTAGACGTCAAAGAATCCAAAAATCTCTTTGCAAATTGATTTGTAACGATAAATATAAATAAATAAATAAAAATAAAGGAATAGCACAAATTTTAAAAAATTACGCGTTCGAATCAATTTCAAGGAGTGAAGTATAATCGTGAAAAAATAAATCATGTGTACGTTTCATTGAACGAAAAACGGTATTCAGTAATGATTTTTGTTGCGGGGTATCTGGCACTTCAAAATGAGGATGAATTGCAGAAGATAATGAAGACTCCGTTTCCCGAACTGCTGGATGTGCAGCAACATTAGTTTCAGAAAAACGACTTGATGAGAATTCCATGCTTTAATATGATGAAGTGCAATATGATTTTAGAAAATCAATAAAAAGACAAATTTCATCTCATTACAACAAAAAAAGAGAACAATACAGTTAACTGGTCCACACCAAGAAAAGTATCGACCGCTAAGTCGTCACCAGTCGCATAATTACCTATGTCACCTTACCCCAGCAAACAAGCTAAACATCTTGTAATGGCTTTCAATGACAGGCGGGCGATTTTCATTCTAATTGCTCGAATAAACGAATAAAAACGAATGGAAAAGATTTAATATTTCAAAAAGGAAGTTAGCGGACTGAGCCGTAAAATAGTAGCTGGCACGGCTTACATATTTATTTGTAAAATTCTAAAAAAATTCGCCAAACGAATGGAAAATTATTCTTCAAATTGCAATATATTCCTTCCCCATAAAACATTTTAAGTTGGCGTATAAATAAAAAGAAATTTTTTAATAAAAAAATTTTTCTAAATTCTGGCAATCAAAAATATTGAATGTATTTACAACTAATACAAGCCAAGTCGCAAGCCCAGCGACAAATCGAACCACATAGAAAAAAACAAAAAACAGCCACAACTTTATAAAAACCATTACAATAAGTGCGACATAAGGCCAGAAATTAGTGCAAACTTTTAGTGGACTGAGCCGTAAAATAGTAATGTAACGCGTTTTGCTTATTTTTAGTGAACATTATGTTTTGTGGGTCGTAGCAAAAATTTAGTGGAATGAGGGTATTTCAGGTCTTAGTGCTGCTGTTCATATTAGACTGTTTATCTACAACTTGCGCATGCGGTGCTTGTTAGTCGTCGGACAACTCAAAGCAAAATCTCTTGTTCCTTCCTTCCCTTCCTTCTTTTATTCCACATCGTTATGTTCCTTTCTCATTGGCCCTACTGACTTTATCGCCTTCCTATACTCATTTATTGTTCATCGCATCACCATTTCATGAATAATAATTCAGCATGTTGGTTGTTGGTTATCTTCGTATTCTCTACTGCCAGCATATCGTTTCCTTATCGCTAACATCCTTACTTCTCTTTAAATAGATTTACTCATCTCCTTAGAAATTTTGAAATTTTAACACGTATAGTGATTTATACCTTCAAAGCATTTTGCATATTTTTTTTGCTTGTTTAAGAGATTATTAAGCAGATTTGTTTGAGCAGAATAACGTTTATGTGCTAGAAAAAATCTGGTAATAGCGTTGGACCAATTGGTGACCGGCATATCTCAAAGCCATGTCGCTTCAATAGTGCTTTCGTCTCGCCGTGCTATATTACTACTGTTTTTGCAATTCTTTGAGGCGTTCGGTAATCAGGACATTCTGACATTCTTACTTTGGCAGCATCTTTATATTCGATAGCCAACTAGCACACTTCCTACTAGTGCGCCCCAGGATGGCTGATTTTCAAAGACATTTAAAAAGTTCATGCTATTCGACAAGGCTAAGAAGGTCTTCTCCATTGGCGCACTGGTTTCCGATGCCATATTTACCAATTGTCGAGATTATCGAAGCATTATAACCTACGCGCTCATCCCACTTTCCTCACGATTATGACCATATCATTTCGGTAGAGACTTTGTTAGCAGTTTAAGTTCCGCATATCTTTATCACGGACAAAGTTGGAGCATAGGCACTGATGTACAGTAATAGTAATAGGCACAGTAATAGTATTCAAATTCGTTCAAGTTTTATAGTAAATTTAGTCTTATAGATATAGAAGTTTAGCATATAGATATAGAAGTCTTATAGATATATATATTATATATAAAGTTCACTCTTATATACAAAATTAAAAAATTTGTTCCTACATAGTTTTGACAATTTTATAATTGATAATAATCATCACAAAGTTATCATTTATGAATTTATCTTTTTACTTGTCATGGTAGGAATAAACCTGTATTCATCCCATTAAAATCATTCCCATCTATATTGCTATTCCCAAACGACATATTGGTCAAATAAACTGCAAGTGGCATCTGCGTACTTTAACGCGAATGGTACGATTAACATGGTGGCATATGCGATTAATATGCGAATCGAGTAAAAGGGGCCATATAAGTCTCGGCCATATGAAAGAACTGCTTTACACAACCTAAAGAGTTGGCTTTATATGCATTTGGCGAGATCTGTAAATGTGTGGAACGTCAGAACGCTTGTGAATGTTGGGATCCAGTCGATTATCACCCATAATTAGGTAGATATTGCTTAGATGTAGCTGCTGAAAAAATTTTTTGTTGAGCGGTCGTTTCAAAAAATACTCTCGATTTATTTTTATGAATTTATTTTTCATTTCTGATCAATTCAGCTAAGTCCTAAACTTTTAATTTTTTTTTAACAAACAGCGATTAAAATTAAAATAAAATAAATTAAAATTAAATCAATTAAATTAAATCGAATCAATTAAATTATGTAAATAATATATTTCATATATATAAATATAGTCATATATATTTATTTTTTTTAAATTTTTATATATTTTATTTTTTTTAAATTTCATTGTCCATTTTATTATTTTCTTCAAATTTAACCTTTTTTTGTCTTTGGCAGAAGTAAACCTGCTATTATGTCAAAAATTCGGGTGGCTGCTGGGGACCCACCTGTAACTCTATCCCCAAATGACTGCATGGTGAAAGGGTCAGACACACTTGATACGGCGTCCGCGTCTCCCGGCGCTCATGATACTTCGAGCCCGGTGGTGCATGCGATAAGTATACAATCCGGGCTTAAAGTGATCCCAAGGTGGGCTGGTAAATAAAATGTCAAGCCAGGATAATTGCTCGAAACCTATCAAGGGGAACAGCCCTCTGCAAGCGCGGCGAGGTATTGGCCGTATCAGCTTGGAACGTCAAAATGTTTATGGACTTAACCATGAAGCGCCATCTGTTGCCTCTGATATAACTGTTGCAAGCTAAGCGACCACTGTCCACACCCTATCTAAATACCGTGTGGATATCGCTTGCTTATCGGAGGTCTTTCTCACTTTGAGCAATTATTAATCCTGGTTCAAAGTAGAGATACTGGCTATATCATTGTGATGCTTCAAATAACTCGGGACGAAATGGCGTAACGATTTTCTTGTCTAACAAAACTCATTCCGCTTTGATTGCGTGGAAACCGTTTAACGACCATATGGTCTATGCCCGTTTTAAGGGTAAGTTCTGCAGTATCTCCGTCATCAGCGTCTATACTCCAACTCTGTCGGCAAATGACCGTGATAAAGACAAGTTTTATGCGGAACTTCAACTGCTAACAAAGTCTCTATCGAAATATGACATGATCATAATCGGGGGAGACTGGAATGCTCGCGTAGGTCATAATGCAGCTGCGATAACCTCAACAATTGGTAAATATGGCATCGGATACCGGTGTGCCAATGGGGAACGTCTTCTTCGTTATGCCGAAAAGCATGAAAAGCACTTTTTGTTACTAATACTTGCTTTCGGCATCTAGTTACGTGGAACTCCCCGGACAATTAACACTTCAACCAGATTGATTATGTCTTAGTCAGTCGCCGTTGGAAGTGTTCCGTACCAGATAGTGGTTCGCGCGGCACTGAAACAAACAATCTTCATGGATCTGACCATGTTATAATTCAACCCAAGATCCGCATAAAACACTCGCAGAAAACACCATCCCCCAAGTTCCTTAAACTATCTCAAACTAAAAAATTCGGGGACAGCAAGCGCATTTCAAGCTGAATTATTGAAGCATCTCAATGATACAAATATCAATGATTTTTCTGGAACGACATAATACTGGTGCAAACTAAAGGAATGTCTCCGAAAATCAGCCACTTCTACGCTAGGGCATACTAGTGGGAAGTGCGCTAGTTGGGTATCGGAAGCAACTCTCCAACTGTTTGAGTGTCAGGTGATCCTGACTACCGGATGTTTCGAAGATTTGCAAAGAAAGCAGTACGACGGGACAGAAATTGGAATGCCTCAAGAATGGAGGCGGTGGCTCGCTTAGACTACAATAGGAAACTATTTTGCCTTCTTCATAAAGCAACTATGACTCGGGGAACGATCAGTGAAATGGTAAGAGACATCAATGGCGTATTAATCAAAAATATTAAGGATCACCTCATAAGAATGAATTTTTTGAAGCCAAACTTAATTATGAAGCGCCATCTGTTGCCCCTGATATAACTGATACGTTTGCCGAAGCATATTGCAGTTGCAAGCCTCCAACAGAAGAAGAAATAATCTGCATTATCCATAAGCTTAAAACCAATAAGACGAGAAAAAGTAGTCTTCGCGCTGAACTCTTCAAATGTTATCCATCGTCTTTCATAACACCTTGAAAAAATGTACTCTTTAGTATGGAAAAAAGAAATATTACCAGATGATTGGAGCAAAGCAATTCTGCTCCCAATTCTCAAGAAAGGTAATAGGACATATTGCGACAATTATCGAGGAATCAGCCTATTAGACGTCTCAGCAAAAATTTTTGCTTCCCTGCTACTCGACAGACATATGGAAATACGGGACAACAGGATGCGCCCTAATCAAGCTGGTTTCAAACCAGGGCACAGTTGTGCTGACCAGATATTCACGTTAAGAAAGATGTTGGAGTATCGCTTCAAATATTTGCAACCCACTGCCACGTGTTTGCGGCTGCCTTTGATTCAATTGATAGAGCGGCGCTTTGGAGGGTGATGGAACGTGATGATGTTCCAGAGAAAATCATTAGACTCATAAAGGCATATGAGTGCACGTCAGCGCAGGTATGGGGAGCTGACAGATTTCTTCGAAATAAGAACAGATGTCCGTCAGGGCTGCATCCTTTCCCCCACAATATTCGACTATGCGGTAGACTGGATAATGGACATTGCTTGTCGGCACTCAAGAGGTGTCCGAATTAGTCCAGAGCATCGTATCACAGATCTTGATTACGCTGATGATGTAGCCTTTTTTGCTGACGGTTATAACGAAATGCAAGTAATACTAAATAACGTGTCAGAAACTGCAGCAAGAATCGGACTCAAGATCAATGTAAATAAAACGAAAGTCTTTTCATCTTATGTGCAAGAAGTTGATAAAATGCCTCTTTTTGTAAATTCATGGCCGGTTGAGGAAGTGCCTGATTTCAAATATCTTGGGTCCACTCTAATACGAAATGGACAGGCAAAAGGTGATGTTATAACTCGGATCAAGGCAGCTAGAAATGCGTTCTTCCGGTTGAGACGAAACTTTTATGGAATCGTCGTGAAATCACCATAATAACCGCTTCTATACTGCCGTGATTCGTTCGATCTTACTATATAATTCTGAGACATGGCCAGTAAGAGTGGAGGTTATTAAGAAGTTATCTGCTTTTGACCACTCTTGACTAAGGTACATATTACGGATCCGTCGAGCGGATAAAATATTACATGATCGCATCCATCTTCGTTAAAATACCACTTGCACAAATAATGTTATCACAGAGCGCCGCCTTCGCTGGTTACATTCTTCGTCGTCCACCACTGGAGAGACGCATATTTCGTTATTTGCTAAACCGTGTGACGGTTGGCGTCAAAAGCGAAAAAGATTTTGAACGTATAGGTAGACCAGCAATATATGGACTTAGACAATGGAAAAAGGAATTGCTTCCATTACTGTCGACGATGGACCGCGTCGCTTGAAAGCGTCTTACCCTTGTAGCCGTTGGAGCCAGCCTAACCAGTAATGGTGAGAGCTATTAGAAGAAGATATTGCTTGCCTGTCGGAGGTGTGCTAAATTCTGCAGCAATAGGTGTATCATAGTGATGTTTCGAATAACTCAGGTAGAAATGGGTTGTGAATGTCATGTCCGAAAGGGCAAAATCAGCTTTAATAGTATGGACCTTTGTTCTAATGATCGGTTGGCCTACGACCGCAAAACAAGTTTTGCCTATGTTATGCACAGATGATCTGGATAGGGATAGATTTTATGCCAAACTTGCTAACATTTCTCCGAAAAATGATATAGTTGTGATCGCGGCAGGAATGTGCATGAGGATGCTTCCATAGACAGCAGATATTAACCTGACAAGCTAGTGAAGAGCATCTTTTTCATAACAGTTTTTTTACCAACGCGTGCTTTCAGGATTGTAGAAAACATCCAGTTATTACGTGGAATTCACGAGATAATCAGCAGTCTATTTCGATCAATCGCTAAAAAAAGACTTTTGTACTAAATAACCGCGCATATTGCAAACTAGCAATTTTCATAGGCCGGATCACATTATGGTTAGAGCAAAGAACGAATGAAATGACAATGCAGAAGCACAAAATCTTTTGATTATCTCAAGTCAAAGAATTCAGAAGCAACCAGCACATTTTAAACTAATGGCACATGTAGGAGGTTTTAAAAAAAAACCGTGGCACTTTTGGAACTGTCGAATAGTGGTCCCAAGTGAAATTTCGCTCCCACGAATCAGATCTATCTTAGGACGACTCAGAAAAAGGTGAGCTGAGTCGAAACGGTTCGGGTCCCCAGTCCGCACCACTAGATCGCAAGTGCCAAAAGGTGCTAGACGGCAGCTCTGTAGATATGCGACAATCAAGGTGATACAAAAATCGATAGTGCAATAATATAGCATCGAAAAAAAATACAGCTCGAGTGGGTGATCATTGAAACTATTTAGCTTACTTCACCACCGGCGCTTGGGGAACGGTCAGTGAAATGGTCCGATATAAGGAAATTCTTTTAAGACCATCAAAGACCATCTCTCACTGGATAGTGTTTTTTGAAGTTGAATCAAATCCACAGTGGGCCGTCTAGCATCTCGGATATGGTATATTCAAATTTAGAGCCCTATGACTGAAAATACCAACTTCAAACGGAACATAAGACAATCGCTAATTTACAAACTTATTTCCAATAAATATGAGGAATCTAGATCCTTATACTAAGCGCCAGTAGAGCTAGTCAAACCAGCAATGGTGCTACTAGAAGAGGAAGAAAGTGATAATCCGACTAGGCGACGCAGTTTTACCAGATGATTGCCACCGAGAATCAAAAATAATTCGCATTCAAATCAAGCTGATACCTCACGCTTCATCGAGCAGAAGTGTGGCCGAATGGTAAAAGGGAGTAGAACGGCTCAGCGGACTTTAGCTGTTTGGAGCATCGATGCAATAAGTCACATACCTGGCATGAGTAAAATAGTTCTTCAAAAATCCAAGGGAATAGAATGGCCTCAGTGGACTGTAGTAGTGGACTGATAATGACTCTATACTTTTATCACTAAATGACTCATGGTAAAATGCAAGCAACGAAGCCAGCCAAATTAGCAATGGTGAAAGCTCTTAGAAGTAAAGTGACCCTGACTAAAGGAATCTAACTTCGCTTGCCTTTGAATAAGCCTCCATTCACAAACAATTCATCCAAGAAATATAGTATTTACCACATCCGATTTGCTTAATCTTCTCGATAAGATCTTTTCAGATATATGAAGAGACAGGTTTATACAACACGGTCCTCAATCAAAGCAACGGACCATCCAGGTAAGAAAAAGTTTACAGACCAAAAAATGACAAAATCGTAGTTTTATAGTTATAACCAGTTTTTCTCGCATATTTACAATACATAATTCAATGGCAAAATAAAATAATTAAAAAAAAACTTGTTAAACATTTAGGATTTGCCATTGATCATCAAACATCAATAAGAGATCACATGCTCATTCTCTAAGTTACTTTACAATATTTGAAAATTTTCCACACCTCTTACAAATTCGCCCAACAGCTGAATAAATGCTTTAAATAGAAAAAAGTTCAGCAGCTACTTTTCCTTTTTGTTTTGGCATTTTTTTATTTGTCGGATCTTCTAGTTCCTTTAATTTGTAATAATGAGGTGCTACTTCCATAAGCCAAGCACTCTCAATCTCTATCACCTAAAATAGGAATTATTAGCCACAAAAATAAAAAACAAAGATTAACACTAATAATTTAAGAAAATATAATTAAAAACATAATTAAAAAATATAATTAAAAATTAGATATAATTACAGTGTAAAGTATACAGTATAAAGTATTTTTATCGTAAAAGAAACAAATTTCACCTCTCTCATGAATTCCTTTGATGTAGAGACAAGTTCATAATAGATCATCCACCTTGGTGTTTCCTCAAGTAAAGAAGAATTCGGATGTATATGTACAGTGTGTTTATGTTTCACAGTTTTATAATGACCACTGCTATCGAGTTTTGAACAGTTATAAAAATAACCGGAAGTTATTGCCTTTCTTATTGCAACTGAATCATCACTCGATTTCTCAAAATGTTTAAAAATAATCCCGAATGTTGAAAATGTATTTTTTTAGTACATAAGCATAATAAACAACTGAAGTATTGAAGCATTATTATTACTTGTTCTATTTCGACTCTTTCAAGTAATCCTTCCAGCTGATCTCGAATATCCCGTGCTTTCCGCATAGTTCTGTGCTGCACAAAATTCTCCATACACCTTCAATAACGGTAAGGATAGCCTTCGCTCTTTGTTTTTTTTCTCGCACCCAGAGTTGTCTTCGGCAAAATCAAAATATTCATAGCCGTACTTGTACTTTTTTTTATTTTTATATTTTGCAATTTTTGTTTTTGTTTTGGTGAGGACTAAACTTTAAAAATCTTTAGTACCTTTAATAAGTTTCAAATAAGTTTTAATACCAACTTTCCTCGAGAAAGGATTTTGAAATTTCTATATCCATCAGTGAATTCTAAATAACTTCCTTTTTATTCAACAATAGAAGGATAAATCTAAGTAAAAAAAGCACTGTTCACAGCACTGTTGGAATCTGTGTATTTTTACCTTCTTAATTGAACTCTACTTCTCCAGTCTATCCTCTCGTTTTTTTATGCGTTTGGAAAAATAAGAAAGGAAGAAAAAAAATGTAATTTTACCGTTTTATTGCATCGCGCATAACAACTCTGAGTATCAAATAAGAAACTTCAAAATAATTAAATTCAAAAATAATTCTTTTTAATTAAAATATTAAGGATAAAAATTATTTGGTTTAAATATATAATATTATACCACTGCGATGAATAATTCGTTTCTTTCCATCGATTATAAACGTATAAAAGAGTCAAATGGTCTCCACCAGGCTTCCAGAATCCTTTACGCGCCGCATCTGCATGTATTACCATAGCTTTAGGCCGATAAAATACAGCTGCATTACACGATAACATCGCCGCAATGGTAATAATTTCTTCAGAACATTCATATCTTAAATATTAAATTTATTATATAAAGAATTAAAACAAATACTTTTAATCAGCGAAATATTCAAGAATTTCAATTAGTTTTAAAATTATCATTAATTCTATTGAATAAATCCTACTTAACCATCATTCTACCTTTTCCTATCATTTATGCACTGGTTTTCTTTCACCTGTTCATCTGTGCTTGCGATTTATATTATAATCCAAATTCGCAATAAATTAAATATTGTTTCTAAGTACTATTGTTGTTCTTGAAAAAACATTTATAATATACAAATTCTTCAAATTTCTTGTTTCGGAAATTTCCTAGACTTTTTATTTGGAGAATAGGGTTTTAATGTTTTGACAAAAGAAAACATACTTTTCTGATGCAATGATCATTTTACTCATGCAAGGATCGCAAGGAAATTCTGCCATTCTCCTTCCCAATTTGGTCAACTCTCCACGATGATTGAGCGCTCCCAAAGCATACAACTGTTCCAAAGCTATTACTAATGTTTCTTGGGGAGGTGGATCTAGGAAATCAAAGTGTACGAGATCATGGATTCCCAAACTCTTTAACATTAAAACAACATTCGCTAAATTCGTCCTCTGGATCTGTAATCATAAAATTGAAATTTATTTTGGTAAATTTAACATGAGAATAAACTTAACAAACCTCAGGGATAGGCTGATCATCGAGTTCATTTTTATAAGCCCACGAAGTATACAATCGGAAACACTTTCCAGGACCAGTGCGACCAGCTCTTCCAGCGCGCTGATTCGCTGCTGCCTCAAAATTTGTAGTTTTTTCTAGACGAGGAAATAAGCACGCAATGCAAGAGAAATTTGAAAAGAATGAAAATACCTTCGATATAGTTACAACTTGTAAATGTTCAACACCACCTCTAGCATCAAAAGAATTTTGTTTCGTAAATCCGGGATCAATCACATAACATATACCATCGATGGTAACTGAAGTTTCAGCAATATTTGTGGCTAAAACTACCTGTAACTCACTTAAATTTTAAGAAATTATTTATATCTTTTTAAAAACAAAAGTTTTCAAAAAATTTTTTGAGGAAAAACGATGATGATAAAAACCAAGATATTTTAACAAAAATCAAGAAGATGAAAAATGAAATCGCCAGGTAAAATATGTTCTTTATATCTTTATCTTTAGTCAATCTGCTAAAGAATTAATAAACCTTTCTAGCATTTGGAGGTGTGGGTTCAAAAATTTTTGCTTGCAAGTCGGATGGTAGATTTGAATAAATGGGAAGAACGATTAATTCTTTAATTTTTTTTCCCAGATATTTTGTTCGTTCCAATAAAGATTCCTGAAAAGGAAAGATACAATTGTAAAAATAATTACATTAAATTTGGCCTAAAAAATGAGATCATCAAAATAACCAACAAAATATATTTAGATTAGAAATTTCTAGTATCCTATGAAAAGATCACAAAAATACCATTAAAGTTTCGATTTCTTCTTGACCAGTAAGAAAAACAAGAACATCACCGGGGAGTGGTTGAGTTAAATGAATCTGAAGAACAGTAACCATAGCAGCATCCAGATAATCCGCTTCAGGCGCTTTTGTATAATAAATATCAACAGGAAACCTACGACCTGAAGACATAATGCGTAATAATCATGAATTCGATATTTGTTCCCCTCCCTTTCCACCTCCCAATAATAGTAACAGTAAAAAATAAAAAATAAAGAAATAATATTTTAATGGGATTCGGTGGTGTTTTAAAGGAATCTAATAATGAGTTAATGAGTTATACATAAATTGAAAAATGAGTAAAGGGAACATAACGGAAATGAAAACATTGATATATGCGACATATTTCATAATATTCACAGAATATTTGTAACATTTGTAAATGGTTCCATAATTTATAACACTCCACCAAAACATCGGGGAACGTTTTTTTTAGCCTTACATGGACTAGACAAGACAATCTGGAATAGTACTACAGCAGCAGAACTAATGAAAAGAGATATATTTAAAGAGATATATTATATTTAAAACACATGAAGGGGCTGTGGGTGGACAAGATCTCCATCAACAATAGCTTAAAATTTAACTTAAAAAACACCAAGTTGCCTAACGTTTCAACACAGAAAATATTTCGATTTATTTGGTGGTTTCTTTGGATTCTTTTAAAGGGTCCTCACCATTATTGGGTAACCTCGCTCCATTGGCTTGTCACATTGAACAATATGCCAGTGAATCGCCAGTATTACCCGGACAGGTTTTCAACAGAAAATAGAAAAAACATGCTGCTCTCTCAAATGGAGATCCGATAATGCGAAAGGAAATAAATTCGCATCCAGATCTGAAATTGCTTTCCAACATCCCCATTATACTAGTGTACTAGTTGACATGAGGCAAAAAATTATGAATAAACAGGCCGTAATCAACCCTCTAAACTATCTGAGGCACAATGAATTAATAACAAATAAATAATAAACTTGAAGATGCTAATAAATCATAGGAATTCCTGCTACCATTATAACCAATGAATTCGTGTAAATTGCAATCGCCGTAATTCTGCTTGAATAAGAATAACAGATGCATATCCTTGGAAAATGAGGATGGAAATCAGGGCACGACATAGAGAATAGATCAATTTGTGCATAATCTGAATTAACTACAGGAAAGCCTCCGACTTAATGCCTCATGCATGGATCTGTGGATGTCTGGTTCTGAACACTCAACAGAATTCTAAACACTTTTGTAGAAAATTCAGCTGGATTGTGGAAAACAACATTTGAAGTTATCAACATGCATATGTGGCTATAAAATATATATCATGTATTTATTAATATATATTAAAATTAATATTACAGCATATATCAATATGCATCATCCTACTCCATAGGTCTAAACTCCCTCAGCAAGAAGTGGATATGGATGTAAGTTCAAGTATCGTCAGCCATATTTTTTACATGGATGCCATCATGTTATATGCTAAAAGCGAGATATTAACTCGCTTCACCAAGGCGAGATTAGACATTGGGAGTCATTCGGGCTTAAATGCGGCCAGATAGTAGTAATGGTAGTGTAGTGAAGAGAAGAAAAGTGTTTAAAACTAAAAGGACTGAACTATCAGTGGGCATTTAATAGAGAGACAGATTAGTTACAAGTACCTTAGCATCCTACAATCTTGAGGGAATCGCGACAACATGCAAACACCACTTAAAAATAGGAATAAAAATAATCTCAATGGGAAAAACAAAATTCATACCATAAATATGTTCTGCCAGTCGTCAAATAGCTAGAGGAATTAAAGAAAGATATGAACGATATAAAGACCCAAGAACTCCTCATGATGCGCGGAAATTCGCACCCCAAGTATAAAACGCAAAAATTACACCAGCGGAAATACTGTTCTGAACGGAATCCAAAACATTCAGGAATAAATCAATAATACAGGATCAAAAGATGAATTACTGAAAGAATGCTCGAAGTACTCACAAACATTGGAGAAAGATTAAGGAGGGCTATACTTGGCAAAGTAAGATGTTCCATCGGATATATCATCGTCTGATAGCTGACACTGAGAAATTTTACCAGTGTTTGGAAAAATCTGTATTAAAAGACCGCAAAGAAGAATTAAAAATCTCACTGGCGATAGCAATTCCAAGTAAAAGGAACATTCGGAAGAAGAAAAATGAAAAACTAGGGAAATACCAAGGACTGAAAGAGGAACTAGAGAAGATGTGAAGAATGCAGGAAGTGAAAACCAAATAGCAATATACTGGAAAAATGTCTTTAACAGATTCCAGGAATAAGATCAGAGATCTCTGTTTAGGAAATCGCCATGGACAAAACTGCACAGAACCCTCAATCTCCCAGGCATCTGGTAGAAGACCAGACTAAGGATTATCCATGTCGCTCACAAGAGATCAAAGGGATTTTCAAACATTAAAAATCAAGAGAATAAAAGATGTAAATAAATGAAAACATATATGAATCAAACATATTCAAATTTTTTTCTAGAAATGCTCATAATTGCTGGGCTCACTTCTAACTAAACAAATTTTGCCAAGGTTACCTGGTGATAGAAAAACAAGTCAGTCACCAGCATCATCCGGACGAGTCATTCTACCTAATTCCGTTGACTGACATTGCTGCCCAATATAGTGCGTTGGCGTAATTCGAACCCTAGCCATTTTTAATTCTTGGTAGCAAACCAAAAGCTAATCCACCAATGTACCCAGGGTTCGAATCTTCCACCATTCTTCGTCGGGCGACAGTGTCGTGTAACGGAGAAAAGCAAAAAATAGTGGAATGACTCAGTGGGTTGTTAAATTTCGATATATTAATTTCTAATGTTACGAAGAGTGTGAAAACTTAAAGAAGATTAGAAGGAAGAATCAAAAAATTACGGAACTGTAGAAAAATTGTAGAAATCTAAAATTCATTCATTACCTGGAATCCGAAATATAGGTGCATCGTCGAAAAAAGCAGAAAATTTTTCAGCATCAAGAGTAGCTGAAGAAATAAGAAGTTTAAAATCTTTTCGAAATCTGGCAATATCTTTCACTAAACCAAACAAAATATCAGTATGAAGAGTTCTCTCATGAGCTTCGTCAATCATCATCACACTAAAAAACAAAAAATACGCGAATTATTTTAACAATTCCAGCAAAGAGAGGTGGTATCTGAACCTGTAGCTAGCAAGATCAGGTTCATTCAAAAATTCTCTTAATAACATTCCATCAGTCATATATTTGATCATTGTCCGTTCTGAAGTACAATCCTCAAATCGAATCGAATATCCAACCTGAAACTTGCAAAAACAATTTTTTCTTTTATTTATTCTTATTTATTATAATTATTTATTCTTTTAATTATATATTTTCTTCTAACAATTCTTAATGTTACCGTTACAATAGCTCCGCTGGCTAAAAAAATAATAAAATCCAAACTGTTCGATACGATGATATCCCTGACATTAATAGAAGCCACACTTTCCATAGTTTATGTCCATTTATCGCTTAACCCATACGTTTAAAATCTTTCCCGACTGTATCAACTACGCCTTGATCGGCTCTCCTCGCTTTTGACGCCATTTACCGCAGGGTTTAGCAAGTAACGAAATGTATCAAATCTTGTGGTGAGAGATGAAAAATATAGTGGTATTTGAGCGATGGTGGATAGATGCGACCGTATAAGATTTTATCCATTCGGTGAACCCGTAAAATATACCTTAGACATGAGTGGTTAAAGTCAGATAACTTTTAATATCCTCCACTCTCATTGGGCATGCAACAATACAACAAGATCGAGCGAATGGCAGTTGTATAGACGCGGTCTTTTGCGATTTTTGCAATCGCTCTATAGAAATTCTAATTCTTAGTTCATTTTTTTACCAATTGATCAAATCCATCAAAATTGATGGAATATGTAACGATAGGATATCTGAAGCGATATTCCAACATTTTCATTAACATAAATATTTGGTCAGCACAACAGCGTCTCGGTCTCAATCCACCTCGATTAGGTTGTTACTGCTTTTTCTTACTGTCATAAGTCTATTTAGAAAGGAATCTGTTACTATGAATGGATTTATGAATGGATTTTATGAAAAATAATGACCTCAATGCCCAATTTCACACTCATTTCTTCGGCGACACGGGATGCTACACTCATTGCTGCAACTCTTCGAGGCTGCGTACATCCGATTTTTTTTTTGTCTGAACAGAATCCCTTAAAAGCAATCAAGGCATTATAATCAATACATGAGTACTGTAGGTTTTCATTCCAATTTAATTCTCATTATGATGTCATTCCGAAATCCAAATTCTAAATTCTATTTCGGCGTTATTACTTACGGCTTCTAATAAATATTGTGGCAACTGTGTCGTTTTGCCAGATCCAGTTTCACCCTCAATTATAAGTACTTGATGGTCAGATACTGCCTCAATAAATTGTTCTCTAAATGCATATACTGGTAATGACTTGCGAGTTTCCTCTATTGATAATTTCTTTTTTTGTGCTGCTGTAAATGAGTTTTCCTGAAATTAAGAAAATAACTTTCAAAAAAACAAGTGAAAAACTTCAATGGAACAGAAGTGAACTAGAAAAAAAGAGAAGTTATAAATCATTTTACATTGCAAATTAAATTCTAAGCTTCATTTGAAAAAGTTTTAAGACAAACTTCTGTTGTGCTGGAAGTTCCAGGGATTTGAAGTGCTTCAACGAAATCGATTTCTTCTACTTCAAAAAGCATTTCAAATTCATTTCTCTTCTGAAATATGGGAAAATTTTTTATTCTTTTACCTTCATCATTTTGCCTTCAGTTTTCCTGAAAGTTTACCCAGGCGTTTGCTATCAAAATTTTTGTTGTAACCTTATCCGCATCTTTTGCTCCATAGGTAGATATAGCAGCGCTCAATCGCTCATCCTCCCATCTCCTTCCATCACCACGAGATGCTTCTTCAGGTTCCTCTATATAATCTGTTGGTATTGATTTTATTTTTGCGTCAGGGACATGGTATCTTTTAATATTCAATATATCAGCAGCGCGATCATGCTTCCTTGCATACTCTAATACATCTTTTCGGTACTTAATATCAGCCTTCTCACGTTCAGTCAAACTGAAACCTTCATTTTTTGAACCACAAAAAGGGAATCCATGAAAGTTAATATTGTATTTTATTTGACATGTTGAATATTTCCAAATTTCCATATTTTAAAAAGAAATTCAAACTCAGAAATGAAAACAAAAAAGATATGCATAATAATAAATAAATAAATCATAAAAAAAAAAAAATAAAACAACTAACTTTTCGTTCTTAAAATACAATTCATCATCTTCTACCATTTTTTCCAATTCATCCAATTTATCCACCTTTCTTTTCGCTAAATATTGCTTGCGACTTTCATACCTAAGCTGGGGTATTATCTTTTCCCTATCTGCATTTTCCAGCTTTAGCCTGCAATTTTTATTTGACTACAGTTAATTGAAAAAGAAATTTCAGCAGAAATACCGCACAATTCAATTTATAATACATCTTTAAAATTACTTTTTACTAATCGCTTAATAGCAAATGGCTTGAAATGCAAGAATACCTTTTAGCTGCTTCCTCTTCCGCTTTTTTATCATTTCGAGCGACAACATTCCGTGTACGCTCTTTATCCTTCTGCCGTATTCTAGCGGCTAATTCATCTCGTTCTCGTATATCTTTTTCCTCTTCCGCATTCAAACGATCCATCTCGTCGCTTGCGCTTTTTATCTTCGATTTTTTCTTTAAAAAATTGGTACATCAACATATTTATAACAAAAAAAAAGGTGAATGAACACACTGAAATGAAATCAAAAATTGAAAAAAAAAATTTCCATAAAAAAATAATAAGTAACTAACATCCTTTCGTTTTTTAACAACAGCATCTTCTTCTTCTTCATCGGAAGAAATCAGTTTTAGCCTTTGATTAAGGCGCTTAATTTCTTTTGCTTTAACTTCTGCAGCTGATGGCTGAGGAAGTGAAATTCTTTTCAGCGCTAAATACGCTTGGAAAGATTTAAATTAAAAAAACTATTTTAATAAATTGAACCCACATTTTTTTCTAAAAGCGCTCATTATTTGGCTTGTCGTATCAGATAAATTTTGCCAAGCAGTGATGGCAGAAGTACAGGTAAGCTGTCAGATTTTTGAAAGTTAGATTTGATTCTGTATAAAATAGAATCTTAGCTTCGACACCCCAAAAGGCAACAGCCTGCTGAGCTATTCTATCTCATATTATATAAACATATATATTTAGAATAACTTTGCAAAATTGGATAAATTTTAGATATTTATAGAAGAAAACATGTAAACACTCCTTTCTTATGCATTAGTGACTGTCAATCCAGTCGACGGATCATAATTCGTCGACCGACAATGACGCCTGACAACGCATAAAGGAGAGCGGATGGATCAGTGGGTTATTCTTTAGTTCGGAGTGCTATGAGTTTCATCTCCAGGCAGGAGTAAACCTATTACTAAACCTATTCCTCAAAAATCCAGATGACTCAATTTGTGTACTTTTTTCAAATAATTCCTTGTGAAAAATTCATTTGGTCCGATAAGCCAGTGGAGCTAGCTTAACCAACAGTGGGAATATTCTAAAAAAAAACATGTCACATGTATTTCACGTGCAATTAATATATACTATGAAAACAGCTTTTAGTTATTACGCATAATTCTTCTGCTTCCACGAAAGTGAGGCTTGACTCCAGCGATCACTAGGATTCTTTCGCTAGAGGAAGGAAAATAGTGGACCCCACACACCATTCTGAGTTGTTGTTTAATTGTTTAGTAAATTTTAATTCATCGCCTAAATCACGGGTAACTACTCAAACATTACGAGTATTATGCAAAGGTACCTGCATGAGGGATCCGAGCTAATAAATCCGACGCAAATTTCATGACATTCGGTGTTATCTGCAGAGTTTCTGTATTTCGTAAACGCTCAACCAAATCGGCGCTATCCGTTGATTTTTTCGCCAACGCAAGAATAAAACGGGTAATTGTACGGTCGGAAATTCCTAATATATCATACAACTTCTCATCGACCCATTCTTCGACAGATGACATCTGTAATAGCGATATTCATCCAAAGTTGGTTCAATCATAGCATCATCATTCAAATCAGATAGTGCCAGTTCGATCAGTTGGTCGACTGGTAAAGACGGCGAGCGGCCTTGTGCTTTTGTGCTCTTCCCCTTTCCCAACCAAATAATCTCCGAACACCAAAAACCTACCACATACTACGACTCAAACCAGCAGGCGTAAAATATCTACCTTCTCACTAAGAATATCATAAAATAAAAATTTGAATGAATAAACTTAAGAACAGCCGATAAAAACTGAAACAAATTTCAGCCTCATCGGCACTGCGAACCCTATTTACCGTCATCCTATCGATCCGGTGTCGTTCGCATAACTGGCAGATGGATCGGTGAGTTGATAAAAAGCAGCAGGAGAAGCAAAAGATTCGATTCTTGGCGTTGCTTCGTTCGGAAGGCAACAATTTTCTCAGCCACTTGTGTTTGCAGAAATTATATCGAAGAAATCGCTTATTCGATCCGAGACAAAAAAATTGCGACAAAAAAATAAGAACTTTCCGATCAGAAATGATTTTTAATATAAATATAATTAATATAAGCCGAAAATAATTTCTTCATTTAATTCGGTGGAACAATGTTTATTTTGAGATTTTTAAATTTTAAATTAGAGAATTTTGTAAACAAATGTAAATCGAGAAGTATCTCAGTTCTAGTGGAAATTGCATTCGCAAAGGCATTCTTTAACCTTAACGAGTCAGTATTTGTTTTGCCATATTTTTCGTCTTCTGCTAACAGCTCTCATCATTACTGGTTAGACTGGCTCCGCTGGCTATAAGGATAAGACATTTCCAAGCTGCTCGGTCTGCATCAGCTATAATTTCCACTAGAAATGCCACTATCATCAGTAATATATCCACTAGAAATGCCACTATCATCAGTAATAGAAGCCATTCCTTTTCCATTGACTAAGTCCTTGGTCGATATCGTTGGTTCACCCATAAGTTTAAAGTCTTTCTTGACTGTATCAGCCCAGGTTTGACTAGCTCTTTTGGTTTTTGATGACATTGCCATTTATCACAAGGTTTAGCAAATAGCGAAGTACGTGTCAACTCTTGATGGGGGACAAAGAACGTGCCCAAACCAGCAAAGATAGCGGTGTGATGGTACTATTAATGCAAGTGGTAGATGCAGTCATGTGAGATTTTACCTGCTCGAGGAACTTGTACATGAGTAGTCAAAGACAGGATGCAGGTACCATCTGAGTTGAACTGAAAAGCGAATCGTGTCTAAGCTGTTGCTTAATAATCTATTTCTCAGTGAATAACTGATCATATTTTAGTTAATTAATTATTACTTAAGGGATCGAAGTGGAAATGCCGAAAGAATTCAAGTATGCTTATTTATAAAATCTGCACGTTGAACTTTTGGAAATGCTTGAAACTATACAAACATATACAGTCTGTCAGTCTATACAAACTATACAAACTACATCAAACAGTCAGATTTCTTGGCATTTTGGAAAAAAGTAACGATTTAGAAAAATTGTTTTCAAACTATAAAGGATCTTTTTCACTCTAAATGCCATGAATAATTTCACTGCATTTTCAGATTCAATCATCTGATAAATAAATTTACTGCTGAAAAACATTTTATGAATGCTGAACAATCATTGGAAGAGTAGCAATTAGGGAAGGGATCTTTGCTTGAAAGATCTTTTTTGGGTGCATTAGATCATCGCTGACCTGAAATAAATTTATTCAAATATGAATTAACTTTTTCCCAAATTGTTCGTCTTTTCAATAAAACAAATAATGAATGAGAAGATCAAGCTGGAGTTTTTTAAATGCAATATTTTTAATGCGCAATTGTGATTATCGTATGGCTATGGTTCGATGCTAACAACTTTGCTGATTGCTCTCGCAATAAAATGATAATTTTAAAAAGGAAAAACTAACGAAGGCTGTAACGAATATGATTTTGTCGATGTCTCTAGTTTTATTATTTAATCGAATTATATCGAAGGATTTTTTCTCGCCAGCTTCAATGAAAGTATATACTGGATTCGCATAATAGGATTTCGTATCGGAACATTTAACCTTAATTTTCAGCTCCATTTAATTTTCGTCTAAAAAGCTTTTTGGCCACCATTTCTGGTATTTTCACAGATTTTTACAGCTTTTAACGAATTCGTTCATCCCAAATATCATTTATCTTTACCATACATCGATTTTTATCATACTTTTAACTGAGTAAAGTTCGAACGCAAAAAAATTTAATCACCTTCACCGCTCGTAATTTATTGGATAGATTTATCAGAACTACTTTTTGAAAGCGTTCATTGAGCCAATGTAGTCGACTTGGTTTCAGTATAAGTTCTTGTTTTATTTCTAAAAAAAACGAATGATATAAGGCAAAATTAGGGGTAAAAGTAAATTAAATTCTTCAAAGTAGAGTAAAAAAAGGAGTAGAAAAATTAATTTACTTGATATTTTTGGAATGACTCGATGAATTTCAGCGATCTAAAAAAACCATCGCTTAATTTAGACGATTTTTCTTAGCCTAAAGACAATCAACTTTTTCTTTTACAAATAAGAAATAATAAAATAAGTAATTTTCCGAAAATTATTGTAAAAAATAAGGAGAACAGAGTTCCTTCATACCTGATTATTTCCTGCAGTTGTTCGCAGATTTTCTGATTTCCTAATTTTTTCGCTTTTTTTGGCATCATTGCGGTTGTCCCTTTCTTTTTTATCTGTTGCGTTGTCTTTTTTTTTGTCCAATTTTTTCCTTTTATCAATCAGTCCCTGAGAAAAGTAAACCTTAATTTTCCAAAAACATACACAATTATTAAAAAGAAATATAAAAACTTATGGATTTATCGTAGATTACTTACTACAGGTTGTGCAACTTTTAAAGATTAGAAAATGTCTAATCTTACGGAAGATTTAGAAAAAAAAATCTATCTTTATTTCAAATGAGCCGAAAAACGAACAACTTTAATTGGGTCTGTTTTGAAGAAGACAAAAGCTCTCAGATTTTCTCAGTTTCTTGGACTGGAAGAAGGAAAGGATTCCGAATGATTCTTGCCTCTGACAAGAATAAACCTATCAATCATTAAAAAACAGTATGGTGACCTATATCGCCAAACGACTGCCTAGTGAAAATTTTTAAACGTACTAACAGCCAGTGGCTTACTAGAAATGGCAAATGCTAAGCATTGTGCCTATTTTTTTATTTTTTTTTCTGATTTTAATCTTTTCTGATATTTTTTCTGATTTTGCAATTTTTATTCTAGAATAACAAGCGTCATCTAAAATTCATGAAGGCTAGAATTAATAATTAAATATTTTAAGACTGATTAGTTTTAATGATTGTTTTATGATAATTTTACTAGGTTTTGAGGCTTGCGAGCGACCTTATCTCTGGTTTATATTGTTCTTTCTAATTTCAATTAAATCTTTTTCTAAATAGAAAATATCTAAATAGAAAAAACTGTCCAGAGGGATCGAAGAAAGAAAATATGATTCAAAGTATCCATATTCTTACCAGGATAACCTAAGACATAAAGATCTTCCAAAATCATAACAAGCGAAAACATTGGGCACCAGAGATATAGGACGGTGCAGAAGGCAGATCATTTCTAAAAATTATTTCACACGGCGGAGTAGAAGCTATTGTAAGCTAGTCTTTTATTATTACCGAGAAAATCACATAGATAGAAAATATTAAATGGTTAACTATATTGTACCAGAAGATAGAATTCAACACATCGCTGTTGAGTATTTTTCGGATTAATGGTATTAATGGAATAGCTAGACTAAGACCTTCGAGAACTATAACTATTGATGTTGCTATAAAAAATTAAATATTGCAAAGATAGAATTACAATGGGTAAATAAGATGTAAGCTCGAAAGTGATACTAAATTTCATTTTTCGTTCGTTTAAGAACAAAACTGAAGATTTTCTTATCAAAATGTACAAAGCGTTCGTTCGGCCACTTCTTGACTACAGTGCTACATGTTACTCCCCGAGATATCGTAAATCAAGTAAAATAATTGAAGGACTCCAAAAATATTTTATCCTCTCTCCTAATTCCAATCTTAATTATAAAAGAGAATAAATAATATAACCTGGATTCTCTTTCTGTTTGTCGTATTAAACAAGATTTAATTTATATTTTAAATTTATATTTAATTTATATCTCTAGAGCTGCGATGAATACTGATCCCAACCAAAGGAATGAAAGTCAGCCATTTCCTAACTAAGATATGCTAGTTGGGTATCGGAAGCAATTGCTCAAATGTCTGAAAAAGCCCGAATGTCAGGAGATTCTGACTATCAAGCGCTTCGAAGAATTGCAACAACTGCAGCACGGTGGAAGAGAATAGCTATTTTAGAGCGATATGGCTTTGAAAATGAAGACGACGGTTCAATTAGATAATGGGAAACTATTCCACCTTCTTCAGAAAAAAACCATAATTCGGATAACGATCAGTGAAATGGTACAGGATAGCAATGATAGCAATGCACTGTTAAGAGTAAGTCAAGGATCGCCCCATAAGATGGAAAAAGATTCTTCAAGGCCGAACTTAACCAGGATGCGACATTTGTTGGGAACAGCTGATTCGCTCGTCGAACCATACGTTTGAAATTGCGAACCGCTAACGGAAGAAGAAATAATCTCGGGCTAAAATTTTCAACTGTTGTCCATCGTTCTTTATAATGCACCTTCATCAAATGTATTTTCTGATATGGAAGAAAGAAATATTATCATATGACTGGAGCAAAACAATTCTGCTCCCAATTTCCAAGAAAGATAACAGAACCTACTGCGACAATTATCGAGGAAGCAGCCTTTTAGATGTCTCAACGAAAATTTTTGCGCCTCTTTACATGGCAATACAGGATAATAGGATTTGCACTAACCAAGATGGATTCAAACCGAAGCACAGTTATATTGACCAGATATTAACGTCTAGAACATAATCCACATGTCTCATCCATTTTTCTGCTGTTTTTGATTCAACTCATAGAATAGCGCTTTGGAAAATGATGGAATGTGATGGCGTTTCAGAGACGATTATTCGCTTCATGAGAACATTTTATCAGCGTACGTTGCTCAGATTTATGTATATGGGGAATTGATAGATCTTTTCGAAATAAGAATTGGTGTCCGCCAAAGTCATGTCCTTTCCTCAGCAATATTTAACTATGCGATGGACTGGATAATAGATACCGTTTGTCGGCATTCAAAGGGTGCACAAATCAGACCAGAGCACAGTATCACAGACCTTGAATACGCTGATAGCATAGCCCTTTTTGCTGGTAGTTATGATATGGCCAATGAGAGTGGAAGATATTAAGGAATTACTTGTTTTTGACCACTCATGTCTAAAGTACATATTACAGGTCCGCTGAGCAAATAAAATCGCATATAATTCATTCACTCTCGCTCAAATATCATCATTAATAAAACCACTGAGTGTCGCTTTCACGGGTTAGGGCACGTTTTGCATCATTCACCATAGGATTTGACGCTTATTTCGCTACTTACCGAATTCTACGATGATTGGCGTCAAAAGCGAGGAGGGCCAATCAAAACGTGGACTGATACAGGAAAGATTTTGAACATATAGAAGGACCAACGATACATGGACTTAGACGATGGAAAAGGGAAGGCTTCTATCACTGTCAGCCATAGCTTGGAAACCTCAATGGTGACAAGTTTTAGAAGAAGAAGAAAACTATATTATCACTAAAATGAGGTGGAAAAGTTCAATGATAGCGTCAAAGACATGACCAGATATTGATTATGGAAAAGGTCTGTTCATATAAAATGAATCAGCTTCTACGATGCAATCTTTAACAGATGTCGACCATTTTCTAAGAGATGAATTGATATGAAATCCTGAATTTCATACATAGAGAGCCAGTGGAATAATAGAATAAAATTAAATGAGATAAATGCAATAAGCGACTGGCAAAGAAAAAAAGCAAGTTAGCAAGTTTATCTGAAAATAAACCGTGGAAATAGCCAATATGAGAAGCGAAAGATACTGAGAAGATGGAATTAAACATGGAAAAATAAAAAAAATTTTTCAAAAATTTTTTCTCGAGTTGATATGGGAGAGCGTTAATATAACGAATTCAAAAAAAAATTGGAAGATAGAAGTAGATAAGAAGATTTGGTTGTGTTAATTTTAATAATCTCAAGCTATGGAATAAGCTTTAAAAAATGGGAATTCCAGAATTTCTAATTGTCTAACCTAATTGTCCTTATTAATTATATACAAGTCGGAAAGTCACAGAATATGGCAAAACTGGCTTCAGTTCGGTAAAGAAGTGCCCTCACTCTCATTTTAGTTTAATTTTTATGGAGAATTTATTAAACTGAGGGAGAAATTTTAAAATTTGGTAAAGAAACATGAGTATATGCTACGTTGATAATTCTGATAGTCGAGAATATAAAGGATCTTCAAGATTTTAATAAAGAAAGTACAGTGAAAAAATGAGATTAAAAATAAATGTAAAGAAGACTAAAGATATTAAAGATATTATTAGCTTTGAAATTGGCAATCAATAGATCGAAGTGGTGGATAGTTTTAGGATCAATTATCAACAATAAAGATAAGTGGTCAAGAAAAACACTGAAGATTGGCTCTGCGAAGAGCAGCCATGAAGAACTTAGCAAAGATATTAGAACGTCGTAATGAGATTATGAGATTATATAATGAGATTATGAGATTATACAAATTAAAATTATGAATACCACAGTATCCTCAGTGATCTTCTACAGATGAGAGTCTTGAACTTTAAGAGTGCTTGATAGGAAGAGTATTGTGCTTTTAAATTTTGCTGATTAGTATGCTCATGAGAGTACCATGGATAGAAAAGGAAAAAGAAAACAAACCGTTAAATCACAAAGCCGAAGACTATATTTCACATTTTAATATTCTGTTCAATTCTTGCAATTTCTATTGCATTTTAAATATTTTTTCTTATTGTTTTTTAATTTTAAGCAAGAAAAGCAAGAAACTGTGATAAAAATTCGCAGATTTACCAACATTTACAATTTAAAATAACTTTAGCAATATATATAAAGTTCACCGCTGATAATTAATTTTTTTATAGTTTCCTAAAATTTTTCTCCCTCTTCCTTGGTCCCTCTTTTTCGTTCATACTTCAGGGTTACCTGCAGCAACATTTTCGTGTTATTCTGATCTCGTGTAATCAAATATAAATTATCCCACTTTTATCATGCTTATATATTCGGGTGAATAAATAGTTTAATTTCTCAAGTGTGAGGATCTCGCGTATATTTTCACTCATTTCGCAATGGAAGAAAGCAAATAATTAAAATAGAACATATTTCCCAATGCTTTTAGAACACTTTAGAACTAAGGTCTGAGAAATCACATTTCTCTTATTTTTTCACCCAGTCCTTCTCACTCGTTTGACGAAATCTTTTATTAAATTCCAAAAATTACTGTAAGAATATTACCTGCTTTTGGGAAGATTTACATCTACATAAAAGAGATATACAAAAAAGCATTGGAATTACTCCGCTAACAGCAATAATTGTTGGATCTAACATTTGCCTAAGAACTCTCACGAAAAGTCGACCGCTCGAAATGAATCGTTGAAAATTAGATTTTTAAAATCCTCATAAAACAAATTTAAATATTTATTTTTAAATACAAGGATAAATCATACTTAATAAGAGTGGTTCTTTTTCAGATTATTGTCTGAAATATCAAATAACGCACGATTCTTTTATCCAATAGGAGTAACCATTTAAAAAATATAGTGGTCTTTGGAACCCATTTGACTTCAAATAAAAATTCTGGCGAAAATTTTTCGTCATAGTGACAGCCATTAGAATACCCTAATCCTTCTTTTCATTTCTCAAACTTTTACAACACTTTGACTCATTGGTTTCATTCTCTTTTCCTATTCATTTGTTGTACGAAGAAATATGTTTACTATGAAGTCGCATTGAACAATTCATTTAATAATCAAGTAATGAATTAATTAAAATTGATATTAAACGGTGAATTTCCACTTTGATTGAATTTATCCTCCATTTTGGAATCGTTCATCAGGTCTTTTCATCTATTCATAAAAGACTTCACTTGGGCCATTTCCTTTGCTTTGCATATTTGCATATTTATTCAAATCCTTGCATTATTTGTTAGCTATTGATTTATAGACCTATCGCTTTCAACTTTGCATCAAATTGACCAAAATTTGAACAAATTAATTGATGGCATTCAAGCTGCTCCATATATTAATATAATTTTTTAGAATAAGCACTATATAAATTTTCAAATATTTCTCTCGCTTCCAATCATTCATATTTAGTTTCAAAGGTTTTCGAATATTTTAGGAAGTTTTTCTCAATTTTTTATTCTCCATTAGATATTTTTACTAGATTTGTCATTTTTTTTTTTAAAAGTTCTCATCATTTCTGGTTTACCAGAGACTTATTTGATAAAATTTTCATTTTTTTCATAAATATTTAAATTTGTTTTATGAGGATTTTAAAAATCTAATTTTTTCATTTTTTTTCATTATTAGTATTTTCAGGAAAATTATCCTTAGTACCCTATTCCTTAAATCATTATTTCAAGCAAAACGCCTCACCTAAGCGATTATCTATTATTAAGAATCAAATCCTAGTTAAACAGATGATCAAGGGATAATCCTACTTGACTTTGTTGGGAAAGTGGTAACATACTAATAACCAGCGTATCAGAAATGGTGAGAGTTAACTAACTAACACTTTCTTATATATGCTAGAAATAAAGTTTAATTAAGTATAAAATTATTTATTCTCTTGGACATAAATTCTCCCCCAGCCAAATTTTTTATTATTCTTTTTTTCTATTTTGAAATAGCTCGCACGAAGTCCAGGAGGTTCAGTTTTTATTAGATAAAATTTACATACTTCTGACCACCCTTATTTAAGAAACATTTCTGCCATGCCAAGTGGTCAAAATCTCATATCGTATCTACCTTCGCTCGATTTGCATTAAGAATATCATCGCAAGCTATTGCCTGATGCTTGGACATGAAAACAAAAATATGTGCACATCTCGCTAAATCCTTGGTGTCAAAAGCGACCTGCAATGATAGGAGCGTCAGGGAAGATTTTGAATGCATAAGCACCGCACCATTATACGGCTTAGGCCACTGAAAAAATAGCCATTTAAATTATTTTCAGGACTGACACCGGGTACGAGGCTTAAAAAAGCTTTATCGTGTAACGCGAGTGAGAATTTGGAGACGTGTGATATTTTCAAAAAAAAATTCTACTAGATGAATGACATAAGTCTTTCTTAATTTGTATTAGCGATGGAAGAGGGAGAGCGAAATATTCATCGATACCCTAAAAAATTTTTCCTTTTCTTGTTGAGCAAACAGTGCAATCTCATTGATGCTTCTAAATTAATTGCGCTTGTCGATTTGTTGCTATGGGAATTGCATGAAGGATAAGCGGACGTAAGCATAAGGCTATTTGATTAATAGCGAATCCTAAAGTTTTCGTTCCTTCGAATCGATAGAACCTTCTTTCCACAGTTATATCAGTATCAACCATTCATAAAAGTGATATGTTATTTCCTTTGATTTTGCTAATTTCTGCGATAGATGACTGCTTTAGTCAAACGACAACTGCAATTGATTATATAAATTATAAAGAATGCATTAATGATACCTATTACGATGTTTCACAAATGAAATGCTCTAAATGCCCAAACGGCACTGTTCCAAGTGCGGATAAGTTCAGTTGTGTATGCCCTCAAGGTCAGATTCTAACTGCCATTGGTTGTCACCAATGTCCGGATGGTAAGTGACTACAATAATCTTCCTCAATCACTAATATGAGCAGATGATAAGCGGGAAATTAACTTAAAAAAAAAATGTAATTTTAAATAATTTTTGAATAAATATATTTTATAAATATATTTTACTGCGAGAACACCGAAACTATCGAAAAATCAATTTAACATAGGGCAATGTTTTCTCAAGATTTTAAAACTTATGGTAAAATTTTAAATTTTAATTTGTTTGGTGAACTTTTACCTAGTATCTAGTAGTTTACGTAGTAGCTTAAAGGTAGAGAATTAAAATGATTAGTTCAAATATTCTAATAATTATTTGAAAAAATAATAACAATAATATTAATATAATAAAAATAATAGAATTAATATAAAATTATAATATAATATTAGTGATAAAATTAAAATGTTAATAATAATATAATAATAAATAATGGTAACAATAAGCAGCATCAATAATAATATTTATGATAGTTATAATAATAAATAATATTTTAATAATAATTTAATAATATTTTAATAATAATAATGCATTTTCAGAAATTTTTATGGTATAATTGAAATAGATAAATAGGCAAAAGTATTCTTTCTTAGTCATTCCTCTTTAGAATCACATCTATGAACTATGATAATGATAAATTTCAGCGAAACAGATAGAATTAAACAATGATTTAAATGGCAACTTCAGGTACTTCGATGAGTGAAGATGGTTTGTTTTGTGTTGAATGTTTAAATACAACAAAGAAAATGAACCGAATTGAAAAATGCCCGAATTGCGCTTCAGGAGAAATAACTGCTTTTTCGCTTGCTGCAAACATGCAATTTATGCAGCAAATTTGCCAAAAATGTCCAGAAAACTCACGGCCATCATTTGATAAGCGAATTTGTATTCCTTGTAGCAAAGCTGATTTGCTAAGTTGCTCTTGTCAAGTAGGCTTTAAAATTTTTAAAAATTTTCCGCTAAATTATAAACTTAATAAAATTCGTCATTTGTAAATAATCTGCCATAAAGATCCATCAATTATATCTAAATGCAAATGTCCAATGATAATTTCAGAAAGAAAATTGTAGTGAAAATTCATTTCCGAGCGAAACGTTATACAGCATTCAATATGAAGATAGAAGCTTCTCACCAAATTTATATATCAAAAAAAATTTGAGAAAATCGCAAAAGAGATGCTTAAGCGGAGTTTCTACCTCATGCCAGAACTTAGCCAATCTTTGTGTTCTACAGAATTACAGAACTCAACCACCGTCTGCCTGCAATGTTTTTGAAGAACTTTTCAGTAAAAATTCCATAGAGCATCGGTGAAAATTTTGTCATTTTGAATTTTCTTTTATGAGAATGAGAATGAAAATTTGCTAAACCATAATAGTTTTTAAGGTTGAAATACTGATGCACGTATTTTTTATAATTTTCCATTTTAAATTCACTTTTTTAGAAATAACAAATTACCAGCAATTCTTTATCATAATACTGAAAGTAATATCGAATTGAATCGGGAGAATGCTATTAATGCAAAATTTTATTTGCTAAAAACTATGCCAAATTCTGAAGTGAATATATTATCGGTCGCTTTTGATATTAATGGTACTTTCCTGGAATTAATTCCGCTCCAGAAAAGCAGAATTTTTCCATCTTGCTTCGATGATTTCGTTATTCGCTTTGGAGTCAGATATTCCTTTAATTGCCGAGTATCACTAGATAAATTAACTGATCTAAGCGACATAATCTTCTACGATTTATATTTTCAATTTATCGATGTCAACAATAAAACAAAATTATTCCCAGTACCGATTGTAAATGAGAATATAAGAAAGGATAATGAATTCTTCAATAGATTATCAGCCAATGACATGTCAAAGTGGACTTTAAGCAGAAGAATTTATTCGTTTGATAGAACATTTAAGAAAACGCCAGATAACCAACTAAAACCAGTTATTCGATATCTCGCTATGCTATCTATCGAAATTCAGGTCCAGGTAAGTATTTGTTTGATATTACTGCAAAATTTGTCAAATTTCTTATTTCTTATTTAACTTCATAATTAAATTTATATAAATTTGTCCAATTATCCTAAAACTATCGCTAAAAAATATATCCATAGTCACGAAAGGATGGCTATTTGATGCCTCCTTATATAAGAATTCGCCACAATGAATTTGACGAAGACCATCCGAATCCGGCATCAATTCAGTTCAGTGTAAACTATATTAAAAATGAAGAAAGTTACGAAAGAGACCTAGAAATTATTATGGCTATAATAGGCACAATATCAATCGTTATATCTGCATCAGCTACATATAGGTAAGTGTAATCCGACCGACACACCATGTTTTATATTTGCTGACTTAATGGTGCTTTTTTTCCTCAAATGTATCTGATAAAAGAATTTTATTCTCGTAGGTGTCAGCCAGATAAAAGATAGAAGACTACTACTAGAAAAAGAATAATCTACTGAATAATAAAAAAATTTGCGAGCGAAGGGTTAAAATTTCGTTTTGTTTTGACATAATTTTCATATATATATATCGAAATATTTTTTAAATGCTTTATAAATTATTTTTCGAAAATAATTTTACTTAAAGCTGTTATAAAATTAATAAAAATTTGCAGTTGGGGTCGTCGTTCCGGAAAAATTGTCGTAGATTTTTCAACAGTTTTGAAATTAATCTTATTTGAATGCGATGTTCTTAGTGAAATATTTTTTGCTGTAGTCACCATTATGGCAATATCGGCTACTTTTATCTACAAGGCGCAGTCTCTATTATATTTTACAATGCCAAACCCACCACAAGTAAATTTATTTATATACCACATACGGTCAAACATAGACTGTTAAATTAAATGAAAAATTGCTACTTTTCTATTAAAGGAAATTTCTGGTCGTTCCTCCGGTGGGAATGTGCATCAAAAATCCTAATAACATTGAAGACACACTTTTATTTCTGTTTTTTCTTAGCATTTTATAATATTCTTATTCTCATATCTTAGATCATATCTTGCAATAATATATTTTTATCCAATAGGAGAGAACTTTTATTGCTTATCTGATTGCGGCGACAACTTTGAGATTTATCAGTTTATTACATACAAATCTTCATCTCGCTATTGTCAAAACATTCTTTATTGACTGGGAGCGACCACAATTAATAGATATAAATAAGGAACAGCAAGGATCGCCAAAATTATCAAAAAATGAAAGAAAAGAAGAGCCACCGGTGATATGGTATGTTTCCACAAATTCTTCAAATTCCAAATTTCATTCTTTCTTTAATTTCTTGCACCAAAAAACTTTATATTTTTTAGGCGAACATATCTGGTTGCGAATGAATGGAATGAATTGCAATGCTGTCGTAAAACGAGCGTTTCACTTCAGCTCGTAACAATACTTGTATTGCTACGATGGTTTAAACTAGAGAATTGGTCAGCTGTAGCGCCGGGTTTTTCCACCGGTTTGTTTTTATTCGAATAAAAATAATTTTGCAATTTTTAAAAATTTCATAGGTAAAGATTTTTGAGGGTTACGCGTATATTAGATCTTTCCAAATGGTGCTTGCAACTCACTTGTACTTCTAGCCAAATTCTAACCGTGTTTAACCTAAGCAAGCTAGAAGGAAGCCACTTGTTTGATTAGAAATAAATGAAAAAATTCTTCAGATGTTTCATCTTCATATTGTCAATCAGTAATTTCTCGCTATGCAGTAGTCGCTTTTTTGTACCTGACAATAGCTTTAATTCAATGGTTATTGAATACCCTAATACTCGAAAGGCTTGTTCTTGATCGATTCCGTAATTTCATAGACCTTTGTTCAATTGCTAATATTAGCGTAATTTCATTAACTGAGCCGTTGCATGGATATTATATTCATGGAAGATCAATACATGGATCAGCCGACGCTAACATGGCTCAAATAAATCTATACCTTCAGAAAGAAAGGGTAAATTTTCAAATTTTCAAATTTTCAAATGAATGACGTTAAACAGTGGCTAATGAATTAAACTAATTCACTTGGATTTTTTGGTTAATGAAACAATTTTGCAAAGGTCATGGAAAATAGTGTTTTAGGATAATTTGTGCGGAGAACGAGGCTTAGAACAAAACAGTGAGCTTCAAACATTTGTTATCAACGTACCGAAATCTTTCAAAGCTTATTTTGATCAAATAACATCAGAATTATGCCAAGCAAGAATGAATTGTCGAGAAACTAAAGGCTTTGAAGCAACGACTATAAAGATTGATGAAATATCTCGGGTAGATATTTACATAAAATCTATTAATGTTATCAAGTTTCGTAAGAATTTCGTGAGAACAAAGTACAAAATAATCCAATCAGCAAATCAAATTATCACTTGAATTAAATACTTCTGATTCTTTTAATTCTTATCATTTGACAATTGCAGGCTCATTCAAAAATGAACCATTTTTTGATGGAATTTGTCGAGCATAACAATCCATCAGTGGATTATGTGATACGAGACTCAACCTTTTTTGAAGCAATCTTTAATATAGAATTTAATGATACAACAACAACTGGTATTTTTGCTCGGTAAGATTTTGCAAAAGAATTCATGACTTGTTTCTACAACATACAACAGCGATAACAATAGTTCTTCCTTAATGCGAGTGAAACTTGTCATTAAAAATTAAATCTGATATTGCTGAGGGAACGCTCGTTTCTTCTGTCCTAAGTGATTCTTGGATAAAAGAATTCAAGAAATATACAAGAAATATGGAAAGAATTTGTGTGCAAATGGCTTAAAAGTTCTCGATTTCTTAATAAAGTCATTAATATGTAGAGAATGAAAACATTCTCTTTTTCATGAATCCACACCATTTACAGTTAAGCCTACTTCATTTGAATTATACCAACCGATTTTATCAATATGAGCTAAAAGCAAATGGATCAAAATAATAATAAAATTTCATCTTAAACAAAAATTAAAAGACCGATTAAGACTGTTCTTAATGATATTTTTAAGGATTGTTCGTGAATTTACATAGATGAATGGCATCACATGATGACTTCACTTTTTCCAATTTTTCTTTAAACTACTTTATTTTTCGATGATTGCAGTCCTGCAGTTTTAGTTCTGGATTAGTTGACTCCATGGTTAAGACTCCATGGATATTTCTAGAAAGCCACTTGAGAATGAAAATATAAATTATTGCGCCTACTTTGCAAGATAAAATGGCTCCAGAAATGATCAGTGAAATGACTAGAGAAGATGGAAATGTCGTTAAGATTATCAAAGATTATCTCATTCGATAGAGAGAGCTCACTGAATCTAAATTTAACTAAAATGGACCATTCGAATATAACTGGGATGTATTTAAAATATTTAGAATACAACTGCACAATTGTGAAATATCAATGGAGCATAAAATAATTCACAAGCTTAAAAAAGCTATAAAACCCTTGGAGATTATAATTTACGAGCTGAAATCTTCAATGCTTTCCAGAGACTTTTCTGACGACATATCTGTTGAAATTCATTAACGTAGAAGAAAAAACAAATGCCGTGTGGCTGTGGTTTTCAGCTTCCAATTCTCTAGAAAAGTGATAGGACTCACTGCGACAATCATCTTGCTATTTCTTTGCTTTTCTTCTATTGAAGAGACTTACTAGAATGTGCTTTAATCAAGCTCGATTTAGACCAGGAAATGACTATGCTGACGACTAAATTTTAAAGGGTATTGGAACATTTTTTTCAAGCATTGACTACTACATTTTCATCGATTTTGCTGCTACCTTTGATTCGAATAATGTTCCAAAGAAGTTAGTCCGTTTTATCAACACATTTTACCAGCGTACGTTAATGCAGATGTACAAGAAACTGATGTCTTTTGAAATATATATGCTGGCTGCATTTTCCTATAATTTTCAACCATGTAACTGGACTGGGTTACTGACAATACTTGCCAGCACTTAAAAAATTTATATAAATTAGTCCAGAATATCTATTAAGGGATACGTTAATATACGTTAATACGTTAATATGTTGGCAGTTACGAAAAGCGCTAAATTGGCAGCGAAAATTCACCTTTAATTTAATGATTTTTATCAGTAGAACGAAATTTTTATTAGTCGCATATATCATATCCAGTTCAAATAAATTAATTAACAGACAAAAAAGTGATACATTTTAAGTATCTTAAGTCCCATTCCCTTATCTAATGGCCAGGTGATAGATGAAATTCCAGCTCAGATAACTGGAGTCAGAGGCATTCCTTCGTCTGGCGGAACCACTTTAGAATCACCACGAAATTAGCTTCAAAACAAAAGTTTACATCTATCTGATGTCTGATTGCGCAGAGTCTTGCTACTCTTGATGCGGAACTTAACCAGTGAGAGTAGAACATACCATGAAATTATTTGCCTTCGTCTAAGATGCATTTTATTTCCTAATTCGTTCCAATATCCATTAAGAATATTGCCACAAAACATCATAGTTTGATCATGTTCTTTGTCACCACATCTATGGATGATGTCAAAAACTTGAAGCATCAATCAAGAGCAACATGGTATTAATATAATAGATATTGTATATTTATATAATAGATATAATATATTTTGTTTTTCAATGCAGTTAATATATAATATTTCTACTTCTTAATATTTCAGTAGAGCAATTATGAATTGATTTCGGTCAGGGAAGATTTTGAACAATAAGCAGTCAAGCGAAACATAAGCGATGGAAAAAAGAGCAGTTTCAGTTATCTTTCTGAATTGGTTTTCCTTTGGAGTCTTACTCTAATTGCCAATAGCCAAACCAGCAATGGTGCGAGCTTCTTCTAACCATTACTGGCTCCGCTGGCTGCAAGGGTAAGATAGGTATCAAAGTTGCTCGATCTCTAGTAATAGTAAAAGCCATTTCTTTTTCCATCGTTTAAGTCCGTATATTGCTGGTTCACCTTTACGTTCAAAATCTTCCAGTCTTTCCTGACTGTATCAGTCCAGGTCTTGATTGGCTCTTCTCGCTTTTGACGCTAACCATCACAGGATTGGGGAAATGGCGAAATATAGGTCAACTCCTGTGGTGGATGATGGAAAACGTGTCCTAACCAGCGAAGGCAACGTTCAGTGATATTATTAATATAGGTTGGTGATATCATATTAAGATGGATACAATTATGTGCGATTTTATCCATTTGTTGGGTCCCCAAAATATATCTTAAATATGAGTGGTCAAAGGCTGATAGCTTTTTAATATTTTCCACTCTCATTGGCTATATTTTGTAGCCATACAGCAAGATCGAGCGAATTGCGGCTATATAGATTCCATCGACCCGAAGAAAGCATTTACTATTATCCAGCTTATAATTTCGTCTTTTACCTTGCCATTTGGCATCCAATAGATTTAAAGTGGGCACTTCCTCAAATGAATTGATAAAAATAGGTATTTTATGCTCGGCATGTTACATATAAGAAAATATTTATTTATTTTTATTTACATTGTTTTATTTTATTTGCATTTTATCTACATTGATTTTGAGCCGAATTTTTGCTGCAATTGTTATATTGTTTAACATTATTTGCATTTCATTATAACTGCCAGCAAAAAGGATTACCAGTGTGTTCAAGATCTGTGATATCATGCTCTCGACTGAACTGCACACCTCTTGAGTGCCAAAAAGTGATGTTCACTATCTAGCCTATCGCATAGTTGAATATTGTAAGGGAAAGGATGCATCCTTGACGGACACCAGTTTTTATTTCGAAAGGGTCAGTCATTTTGCCATATGCAGACCTGTGACAAGGTATGCTGATAAAATTCCTTTATGAGTCGAATAATCTTTTCTAGAACACCGTCATGTGCCATCACTTGCCATCATTCTCTAAAGCGCTACTCTATCAATTAAAACAGTTGGAAAGTCGATGGAACACATAACGGTTGTAAATATTTGAACTGATGTTCTAGCAACTTTTTTAGTATAAATATCTGGTCATCACAACCGCGTCCTGGTCTGAATCCAGCTTGATTAGGGCGCATCCTGTTGTTCCGTACTTCCATAAATCTGTTGAGTAGCAGGGAAGCAAAAATTTTTGCTGAGATATCTAGTAGGCTAATTCCTCGGTAATTATCGCAGTACATCCTGTTATCTTTCTTAGGAAATGGAAGCAAAATTGCTTTGCTCCAATCTTCTGGTATTATTTCCTTTTGCCATAGAATAGATTTCACCAAAGAATAGATTTGTTATGAATGATGATGGACAAAATTTGAAAAGTTCGGTCCAAAAACCATCTTCTTCGGGAATTTTATTAACCTTAGGCTTATGGATTACAAAGATTATTTCCTCTTCTGTTGGTGGCTCACAGTTGCAAAAACTCGACGGGCGAATCAGTTATATTCGAGATGGCGCATCATAGTTAAATTTGGCTTCAAAAAATTCTTTCCATCTTACGAGGCGATTCTTGATAGCCTGAACTGGTTCATCATTACTATCTCGTATCATTTTACTAACCGTTCTCCTAAAATAGTTGCTTTATGAAGAAGGCGAAATAGTTCTCTATTATTACCTAACCGAACCGCTATTTCCATTCTTAAGGCCATACCGCTCAAATAGTGATTTCTGTCCCACCATGCTGCTGGTAATTTTTCGAAGCACTTGATGAAATGCGCTTACTGTTACCGAATCTTTCAATTTGAACTTGGTATACATTTTTCTTAGTCGACTTGTCATTTTATACGAATCTTGGCTCAAACCATGATCTGATTCATGGTGGTTACTAATTTCATCCCGATAAAAACGACTAAAACGACTAAGAACAGAACTCTTCCAGCTGCAGCTAATCAATATATAACCAACCTGGTTGAAATATTATTTATCCATGTGACTAGATATCTTCTCCGTTGCTGAAAGCAACAAATAGCTCATGTTCAGCAAAATGAAGAAGGCGTTCTCCACTGGCGCCCCATATGCCATATTTACCAATTACCGAATTCATCTTAACGGCATCATGACCCACGCGCACATTCCAGTCTCCCCGATTATGACCACGATGCGAGCTATTAAAAGAAGAAGAAAGAAATATAATTGGATCTCATCACCATCCAGAATTTTTTATGGCAGTTTTGCTTCCCAAGGAATGACAGAATTCATCGTTTAAAGCCATTTTTTTATACAAGGTGCTTGGTCAACTAAAATATGCATTATTTCTATGAAAGATAATAATAATATGCAAATTTAGAGACAAATCTGAGATTGCGTTTACAAAAGCCTTTTTTTATGGCAACGAATGGATTTATCTTTCTTTCGAAATGCTCCTTTTTTGCTGCATCGATTTAGCATTTAATGATTTTACTATCGCTGCTTTTATTATTTATATTATTTCAAAATCAATAAAATATATTTTTTCAATTATATTTACAAATAATTTAGTTAATAGCAGTTTTGTTGATCAGAGATTTCTATTTTAAGCGTTTTTCTCGAACTATTTTACATTAAATTTTATATAAACTTCTGTTCATTATTGTGCGTATTGCGTAATGTCAGTGAAAATGAATTGAAACTTACAAAACTTCTTGTATTATTCGATAAAAAATATTAAATGTTGGTACATTATAGATTATAGTATATTCGTAATTCGGTGCAATCAGAACTGCTCACGCTCTCTTTTATTTAAGCTATTGGTTCCCATTTTTTTGTGGCCGGTCATCTCCTACAGGCTTATTTTTGATTAACTCTGATTTCTTGAACAGTTATTCCTGTTCCGATCTATTTTTTACATTATGCCTGGAACTTTAAAATTTCTACAGACAAATAATCAAAGACCTTTTAAATTATTGAACAATCAAAAATAAATTATAAATTAGATATAAATTATAAAACAAAAAATTTAAATTTAAACAAAATATAAACAATAAAACTATAAAAAAATAAAAATATATTATAAGATAAAATAAAAATAATAAATAAATAAATAAAAAATATATTATAAGATAAATTTTTATTTTTTCAATCTATGCTTTATTTTTTTCTCCTTTAATTTTCACTTTGTCTTAGATAGGAGTAAAACCTGTTATAATTTTCAAAAATACGAGTTACTTTTGGGAACCCACTTGCAACGCTATTTTCAAATGACTCTATGGTGGAAGAGCCTGGGCTTAATGCGTATGATACTTCCAGCTCCGCAATGAATGCGATGAATATATAATCTGTAGTAAAAAGATCGAATCCTTGAGAATAAAATGCATTTGCAAGCTAGAATAATTGCTCGAAACCTACCAGTGGAAACAGCTCCTTGCACGCGCAGCAAGGTATTAGCCATACCAAAATAAAATGTCAGAATGTTCACAAAAATTACAAGCTAATCGATCTTCACAGTCGCCTACTTGTCGAAGGTCTTCATCACTTCTCGAGCAATTTTAAACCTGGCTCCGAGCAGAGGTCAGCTTTGTTGCAGTAAAAGCCGATCAACGGCAACAAAGAGTTCTGCAATATTTTGCTCATCAGTATATATGCCTGAACTTTCTGCGTTCTATGCTGAATTCCAACTACTAATAACACCGAAAAGTGACATCGTCATAATCAAGAAAGACTGGAATGCTTGCGTAAGCTGCATGGCCGCATGGTGAATTCGGTGGTTAATAAATATGGTCGATGCCCCAATGAGAGAAAAGCCTTCATCGCTTTGCCAAAGAGTATGAAATGAAAAACGAAGGAATTCTCAGTGGAACTCTCCAAATAACCAACACTCTAACCAGATTGACTATGTCCTGGTCAAGCACCGCTCAAAAAGCTTCGTACTAGATAGTCGTTCCTATCACTAGAATTGGTGACTTTTATCAATCAGATCATGTTATTGTTCGAGCTAAGATCCGCATAAAAACAACTCGTATGAAACATCGTCTCCTAAGATCTTTTAATTGTTTCGAAGTTCAAGAGACATTCGGGAGCATTTCAAGTCCAATTATTGAAGCGTCTCAATGATATAAATAACAGCGATATCTCTGAAATTCAGATGAATATTGGTTATAACAAAAGGCATGAAAATTAGTCATTTCCATGTTTGAATATGCTGGTAAGAAAGAAAGTTGTTAGGTATCGGAAGTAATTGCCTAAAAAGGCTGTAAAAGCACGAATGTCAAGAGATCCTGGCTATCGGATGTTTGGAAAAACTATAACAGGGCAGAACAGAATAGCTATTGGAGCCAGCAATATGGCTTTGAGAATGTAGAATAGCAGCTCGATTAGATGGTAATAGAAAACTATTCCGCCTTCTTCATAAAGCAACTATAACTCGAGAAACGGTCAGTGAAATGATGGTGTGTTTCTTTAAGGCGTTATTAAGGCCTTGTACAGGTCAGGGTATGTGGAAAATTGATAGACTCTTCCAAAATAAAGGCTGAATTCTTTTTCTTACAGTATTCAACTATCCGAAAGACTGGATAGTGGATATCGCTTGTCGGCACTCAAGGCTATAGCATAATATCACAAACCTTGAATACGTTGATGTCGTCATTTTTGCTGGCAATGCAGGCGTGATGAATGCAGCTGACAATCTATCAGCAACTGCAGCGATACTCATAATCAATGTAAATAAAAAGAAAACCTTTTCGTCTTATAGATAAAATGCATATTTTCATCAAATCATTTTCGGTCGTGCCAGATTTTACCAGATTTACCAGACTTAAATTCACTATAATCCCAAATGGTTAAGCGGAATAAGAAATTGTAATTTTGTGGATAATGGTAGTAACTAACTGCGTTCCGTTTTTCCAGTTGACGAAGCCATTTTCAGCATTTCTTCAAAGATTTTATAGTTCAACAATAATTTACAATATGTCTGATCTTTTAATGGACGTAACTCTGTTGTTACTGAAGCTAAAACCTTTAGTCTTTATGGAGCCGTCGCAATATTACCATTAAAACGAAAGAACGAAAGATCTATACAGTCGCAGTTCGTTCGATCTTGCTGTATAGTTGACCGCTGAGAGTGGAGGATATTAAAAAATTATCCATTTTTGACCACTCATGTCCAAGTTGTCAAATATACATTTTATGGGTTCGTTGAGTGGATAAAATTTCACATGATCGCATCCACCTTCGTTCGAATACCACTTGTATAAATAGTTCCATCGCATAGCGTCGTCTTCGTTGTTTGAGGAAAATTCTTCCTCACGCCACCACAGAAATTAATGCATATTTCGTTGCCTAAACCTGAGATGGATGATGCCAAAAGCGAGGAGCGCCAATCAAGACGTGGACTGATACAATCAGGAAATATTCTCAAAATATAGATAGAAAATAAAAAATATAGAAAATATACGGAGCAGCGATATATGGACTTGGACGATGGAAAACTTACCATAGCTCCTATTACGATGGCTTCACATCGAAAAGCCTTGTCTTTGTAGCGAGCAAACCAATAATCGTAAGAGCTGTTAGAAGAAGAGTAACTCTAATCTAATATTAAAAAATCCCAGACTTTTGCGGGTTCAGTTTTTTAAAATCTTTAAAAGTTGCATTGAAACTGAAACGATGATTAATTGCTTGAAATTCGCGTCGCCCATATTGAGAGGCTGTAATCTTTAAAAATGGTCTTGAGATGAAATTCTGTTTTCTATGTTAAATTTTGGCAAATGCATTTTATAACTTTGTGATTGACAAAATAAACGAAATGGACTGTTAGGATGAGTTCTCAAGTTGCAAGGTTTTCCGGTAAATTAAATGTCGGATTTGCCCATTTAGTTTAGGTTTTTGCTGCTCGGTTTTTCATTTAATTCCAATGAATATATTATGATATGAATGTTATTTTTTATGATACTTATATGTTAAATATCTTCGTATTATTATTTTCTTCTTTTACTTATTCTTTTTGCTGGAGAAAGATTTGCATTTGAATAATTGCAATGAACGAATGGATTATGAAATTCTGTGATGATTTTTAGGGAAAGGGAAAGAAGGAAAAAGGAAAAGCATGCATGCCGCTGGCTGCACCATTGTCAGCTAAGGTAAAACGATCGCAGATGATTACAATTTGCAGAAATGCAATTGCAGAAAATTAATTAATTTTTCTTGTAAAAATAAATTTCTTGTAAAGATAAATTTCCATTAGAAGAAAATCTTGGCACTTATTTCGCATTCGTATTCGCAATAGGAAAGTATCATTCTTTAGCGATTTTCCATGATCTTATTAAATTAGTTTATTCATACTACTTTAACACTCTTCTTGGTTTTATTCGAGAAATACAACTAATTTCAGATTGTAAAAAAATCGTGTGGAATCATTTATGTGTCAGTAATTATTTCGATGCTTTATTGTATTGTACTGTATTGCTAAAGATGTCGACTATTCCGGATATGGACGCTTTACTTGATCAGTTAGAAGCAAACGAGGCCAGTTCTCATTGTGTGGAAGACGTTTATAAAAAAACAGTGGAAGCATTTCCAAAGTCCTCATCCTCGCCGATTCACAAAGTTCTTTTAAACAGTGTGATAGATGACAGAATCAGAAACGATTCAACAGAAAAAAAATGCATTGCTTTTATAGACGATATTGATAAAACGATAATTGATAAAGAAAATAAATGTTGTAAGAACGAACAAGAAGGCAATCCATGTCTTGTTGATGAGAATATTTCACCAGTGATGCAATGCAATAGTAATGGAGAAATTGTGTTCGCTAATAATGTAAAAATCGATGCGGAAAATGATGAAGTGTTGAATAAAGAAAAAATTAATGAGAAAAATAATCAAATGTCGAATATCTTCGATGAAATTCATATGAATAGCAAATCTAAATCGGTATATTGTTTTTATAAATTTAATCTTATATTTTGGTTCAATTTTGTAAATTTTATGACTAATCCCTTCAATTAGCTGCTAATAATTCGTTTTAAATTGCAAGGTAAGCAAAAATAAAAAGTGTTTACAAAGAAAATAAAAAAATTGTAGGAACAAATGGGCCATTAAATGCATTAAATGTTTCTTTTATTTTTTAGGTTTTTATTTGGTATTTAACCAGTTTTTATTTCCACTTTCAGTAACATTTTGAATCATCAGTTTTTCCAACTGATATTAAATTTCCTTTGATATTTTTTCTTTAACCTGAAAACCTCTTATAAATCTTTATTAAAAAGGTTTTTGTATGGATTTTTGCCAGAGAAATGAAAACAGAATTTCGAAATTCGTTCGTTAACAGTGAAGGCTTCTATTAGGTCTTTATAATTTACTTATAAAATTATTTGCAGGAAATCCAGAATTTCTTTCGCGAACAGCCTGATATTTTCACGAATATGAGATTGAATTTGCCAAAGACGAATTTCGACGAAGTATGTAACGAGGTGAGATGCAGCTAAAAAGCTTTTATTTAGAATTCTTCCGTTTTTGTCGAAAAATATTTTTGATTCGTGAAGCAAATGGAAATTTTTTTAATTCATTGGATATTTTCAGCCTGCGAGCGAACTGGATCATATGGCAAGCGAATATGCTGAGATGGAGAAATATCTTTCTCAGTTAGTTTTCTGTTAATTTTTCCGGAAATTTTTTATATTATGAAATATAAAAAATATTATATTATGAATTATTTTACGAGCGGGAACACAAAACAAATACAAATTACTGAACTAGCTTTCTTTATGGTATACGCTGGTTTTATAGGTTCATAAAATACATGTGAATATATAAAGAATAAATATGATTTGATATATAAGAATAAATTTGATTTGATATATTGAGAATAAATTTGATTTACTAAGTTGCCATTTATTATTCCAGATATGAAATTGAAAGTATTGTTCCAAAATTTGATGGCCACTTTACCTTATCAATACCACCTGCCTTATCTGGTAGTGCTTCGACTACTAAATTCGACCAATTGGATTACACTATCAAGTGTTCCAAAAACTCAAATATGGAGGGATCAAGGGATATTTATAACAAGGATTTAGCGACGGAGTTTTTAGTACCGGCAAATAATGAATTAGTTTATTGGACCTGTAAATATTCTCAAGAAGACATGATGGAAAAGAATGGTGGAATAGGAAATGAGGATATTTTGGTCTATACTAAGGATCTGTCATCTACTATAAATGGCAGCTGTGATGGCTTTGAAGTAACTAAAAAAGAAGTATGTACTGGTTTGGAAAATGTTAACTCTTCAGTGAAATCGATATCAAGCGAAAAAAGCTATTTCGAAAATTCGGTTATTTCAGCTGGTGATAAATTTTCTGAACAGATTTTAGATCAAGGTTAATTTTATCAATCATTTTTCTTCGAAGTTGATTTTCAACTTTATTTATCATTTATTATTCTTCATTTATTGAAATGGTAATTATTTCAGTTGGTTGAATAAAAATTTATTTTTTAGAAATTATGGCCAAAGGCTATTCTATGGAACATAAGCCAGATGTTTCAAATATTTCAAATACTGTGATTACCAGTAATCAGATAGCTATTGTAAATGATTCGCAAATCGTTCATCGTAATGAAGTCGAAAATACTGCTATCAACCAGATAACCGATGTAAATGATTCGCAGAATATCCATAGTGATGCAGTTAGCGAAAATTCGTCGTCAAATAATGAAAAAGAAGAAAAGTCTTTAGAACAGAATAGTAAAAGTTCAAATGATGAATCTAGTGATGAAGAAACTGAGGACGAAAATGGAGAAAGATCTGCTAAAATAAATCGCGAGAAATCACATCAGAGGGAAAGAATGGCTTCTGTAGTTACGATTACCTATAATCTGGCTGAACCCAATATTGCAAGACTTACAGAAAGTGAACTCCAACTGGGTAAAGTATGTTAATTCTCGAGAATTTATGAGTTTTTTTTTTTTTTTATCATATTAGTCACGAAGACATTTCAAAGACATTTTATATTTTATGAGTTGAATAATTGGCGTTGTGGCATTGAATTTCTTAGATGTCTTGGAAAATTGGTTTTTTACTGATTATACAATGGTTATTTTCGTCTTTGCTTTGCATTGTTGGAGACAATGTGGTCGAATAATTTTCACTCAGATTAATAGTGTGGCTAGACCTTATCCTCTGCAGAAATAAAACTTTATATATAATTTAAATAATTATTTAAATTTAAATTAAATAAATTTAAATAATTAAACTTAAATGTAAAAAAATTGTGTCGTTACTGTAAACTCTCCTCTCTTCAGTTCTCAGTCAATCCTCATACTTATATTTCAATTTTTAAGTGATTTCCTAAAAAAATTGCTTTATTTTTAACAATCAATAGAGGATAACCAGAAGTAGGTAATGCCAACTATTTAAACGGTTCTTACTGCATAACATGGAATTAAACGCAAATTGGAATTTTGGGAAGTTGAAATTTTTCATTGCTTAAATCATTCTCATTATAGGTCAAACCAGTGTGGATCGCGGATTCTGAAACAGCATCTTGTATGTTATGCTGTGCTAAGTTTACACTTATTTTACGTAGACATCATTGCAGATGTTGCGGTCGTGTTCTTTGCGCTTATTGCACTTCACATAAGGTACTTATTAAATTGTTATGTTCATTTATTTGTCCACAATGACGACAGGATTCTATATACTACAGGCAGTGCTACCTTATATGAATGATTTGAAGAAGAAATTTCGAATATGTGAACCATGTTTAAATACGTTGCGCAGGATCGAGGAATATGAAAAGGAACAGACCAATTTGAAGTCGTTTCGGTAAATAATTCAAAATTTAAATCTTTATATCCATGCTGGGCTGCTTAATTTCTTGGTTTACTTGTTTGGAGTTTTTGGTTTAGCTTTAACTAAATTTTAAAATTTTAAAATTATTAATCAAAATAGAGTTAAAAATCGTTATTAAAAAAAATTTTTGATGGTAAATTTTAAATTTAGGATAATTGAATCAGCAGACTCGCAGTCTTCTTCATCTAATCCATCTAATACATCGAACCAAGGGATAATAAAGAATACCAAATCGCTGCTTAAACAACAATCAGATGTAGTAACGGAAAATCTTAAAAATGAAGAAAGACCTGAAGATGGTGCATTAACGAATGAGCTAAATAAACGATCCGTAAAGTTCCTTGACGGCGTTAGTCCTGGTGAAGATCAAGACGGTCATGACGATGCATATATGGTATCTGATGCGAATGCCACTCCCTTCCGTCCCAAAAAAGTTTTTTTTTATTCACAGGATTTTTCATTCTCCATTTGATGACAAAAATCGTCGGCTTTAATTTAATTTAATTAAATTTTAGTCGAGACATCCTTTAAGACGATCTGCTGCATCGAGACGTATAAAACAGATGCATGTGGAAGAAGAAATTATGTGTTACTTGCCAAAGCATTCAGCTGAATCGTTTTATACTCGAACTGAAGATGGTGCAATCATAAACCTCGATCAAAATATGCAGCAAATGAGTCAACATCTTTCCGATTTTTCGCAGTTAGATATTGTCATCTACCGCAGTTTTTCCTGTTCCGTCAAAGTTTGTAAATGTTAGTTTAATTTAATTGCTGGTTAAGTTCTAAATGTTTCTAAAATTTTCTAAATTTTATTCGAACTTTTATTGACCAAATGAGTAATTTCTTATTTCTGTGATTGTGAAATATGGCTTTAATGCGGTTGAGCATTATGTATAGTTTAGAGCCAGAACGAATTAAATTCGACACAATTTCTTTGGTTATTTTTTAATTAAAATATGTATTAAATATGTTTGTTTTCTTGGTTCATTTGTTTATTTTTTGAATTATTATCAAGTAGGGTCTAAGCCATCAGCTTGGTATTAATAAACATAAACACATTAAAATATTTCTAATTTATAGTTTTATATGTATATATATAGCATTTTTTTGAGATTACTTCAGCTGGTGAAAATAAAGTGATGTGCGTTATCACGAGAGGAATGGCTGATTTAGGTCTGGATGAAATTTTTATCGCACATTATCTTGAAGATAATGAAGTCATTACTTTGCCAGTAAATATAATTAAAAGGGTAATAATTTACTTTTTTTTGGTTATTTTTCTAAATTACATTATCAAATTGTTCAGTATTTGGAGCTATTAAGATTTTCGATCAGTGATCAATGTGATCAATAAAAAAAAGGATTTTATTTCACATTTGATTTGGTTTATTTCATATTTAATTTATTCTAATTATAATTATATTATATAATATTCTAATTATAATTATATTATATAATTAATATAATTATATTAAATTAATTTCAGCTTCAAGAAATTTATGATTATTCGATTGCACCACAAGATGGTACGGTAGAAGAAACAATGCTAGGAATGCGTTTTTCGAGTATTCGTACGCCTTTTATACAGCGAAGTGATATAAGCGAACAACTTGATGAATTCACAGCACGAACGATTCTTCTTCACAGACCAAATAAGCAGGTTATTTGTTTTGGCCTATAAAATGTAAAATGCTTTGCACTTTTATTTTAAATTAAATATAGAAACAAATTTTTTTATCCAAGAAGCATATGAATTTGTCAATAGAGAAAATAAATGTAATTTTTTAGCAATTTAATGATTTAATTGTACCATTTGCTCCATTTTTGGTCGCCACATTTATTTATCAATCTGAAATGCAATGTGCATTGGCTCTTCCACAACGCTTGCTGTATCGCATTGGTCTTCAAGCTTCATGTTAATAATAGTTTAATAATAACTTTTTTAAATTTAACTTTTTATCTATTCTTTTCGCTTTCTTCGCTAAATTTTTGTATTTAATATTATTGGATTTTAATAATACAACTTTTAATAATGATTCGAAGTTTATTCAGAAAGATTTAAAAAAGAATAGTAATAATTTTACAGATTACCCCACTCCAATTGTTAATCGGAAGAATCGAGAGCCAGTCTATGATGATGATGTAGGCTCATCTGTACTGAAGGTTTTCAACGATTTCAGAAATTGGACTTATAGAATGCCTATGATATATGGAAGTTATATATCACTTGAAGATAATAATACTACGCTTTTTTTGCCTAAGAATGCAGTTAATCAGGTATATTTTTAGGTATAGTTAATCAGGAAATTTGATTAGAATGAATCGAATCATGCTTATGTTTTTCATCCAGTGATATTAAATGATAATGTAGTAATGAGTAATATGGTAATTTTTTTTATTGATTTTACTTGATTAAATCATGTTGGTTATAAAAAATTTTACTCAGTTGAATGATCTTGCAAAAATAAGCGGTAATATGGTGGCGTGGTCACTCGATTTTAATATATCAGCTGATAGTCATCTGGTCTGTGATAAGGATAATCAAGGCAGTTATCGCACTCAAATTTTTACCAGTGGAATTAATCAGCGAAAAGGTTTTGTTATTTAGTTCTGATCTGTTATAATAATATTGGATCGTCAAAAAAATTCTGGCAATTTCTGGCTTTCAGCTCAGCTATTTTTGTTATTATATCACGTTTTTTTATTTTTGTTATTATTATTAGCTGATGTATTACATATATTTGTTCGCCGTTTCTGATTTCTTCTTTCTTCTTATCTAAAACTAGTTGCGTTCTTTTTCTTATTGATTTAGTCCACAAAATTTGACATGCATCATATGATTTTTTTGTGCAAAAAAAGCGATACTTTGCAAATGGGTGCTGAAGGATTCACTGAACTTTAAATGAAATTTGGAAATATGTTATTTAGAAATGTATTCGCTACTAAACAAATAAATACGACACAAAAACGATTCTTTTCTTCGTCGGATTTTTACTAGCTAAAAATTAGATTTTATACGTGATAATGTTTAAAATAATACAAAGATGATTCAAGATAATGTTAATGGGACATGGCAAAAGAGGCTTAATGATGCAGCACTCAGAGAATATAACGCAGCCTCGACGTGTTTTGAAGCAACTAAATGGAAAAGAAGGGGAAAGACCTAACAAATATTTTGATAAATGGAATATCTAGAAGGGTTTTCACCAACTGTTGCAAAGATTCACCCTTCGTGGATGGTAAGGACCATCCTCATCCTCTACTAGAAGTCTAATAGTTCTGCTCAGTATCTTAGGTATTTCTAATAGTTTTTTCTGAATGAGATTTTTGATGTTGTTCCTGGGTTCTATTTGTTCCACTTTCCTAATTTAGGAATCATAACCTGCTCTGGTCCCTACTGGGATTACTTCAGTTTTTGTTTTTCACATCTTCTCTAGTTCCTCTTTCACTTTCTGGTATTTCTCCAGCTTTTCATATATTTCTTCTTTCTAAATTCCCTCACTGAATATTACTATCAGTGCTATTATCACCAGTGGTAATTTCTGATTCTTGTCTCGTCTATTACCGCAATATCTGGTTGGTTGACCAGTTGTTTATCTATCTGAATGAAGAAATCCTACAGGATTTTCCACTCATAATTCTCCACGATTTTTTGAGGAATCTCCTATTTAGAACCTTGGGAAAGCTTAAGCCGAGCAGATGTTCCAGTAGATTATGCCAGCTACTTGGCTATGCTTTAAAGTGTATGTTTTTCCTGCTTATATTTTACATCTTGCCACTATTGGATTGTTTCTGGTGCGTTTTTGCACAGTGTGCATTATGCATCTATATACATCTAGAACATTATCTATTATGTGGTAGATCCTTGTTTCGATGGATCTGGTACTTAGTGTTCCTGTGCATATTGCTCCTTTGCTCTTTTAGATACCAAAACTTCTTTAATAGAGAGTTATTCTTTGATTTGTTACCTTTTAGCCCAGATTTCTCCTACCTCTGGCAGAAATTTCACAGTTTCAGCTATTTCAGCTATGTCGGTGCAGTCCATGGAGAATTTTACTTTGCCATGCTATTTCCTCTGCTTGGTCGTTTTCCAATGTCTATCTATGCTTCAGACATTCTTTCAGCTCATCTTTTAGTGCCATCTTGCTGAAATTTTAGTGATGGGTGTATAATGCCACATTTGACAGCTACTTGTGCTAGCTTTTTCGAGTTGATTTCTTATGTCGTTTTCCACAGCCTCATTGAGTTCTCAATGAATGTCTTTAGGATTCTGTTGACGTTGTATAGGCATTCATAGATCCATGTATAAGACACTGAGTCATAGGCTTTTCTGTAGTCATTCCAAGCTGTAGTCAACCCACAAATTTACACAGTTGTATACATGATTTTTGAGTCTTGAGCGGCTGCCTTATTTATGGGCAACTAATGTTTGGAGCCTCTGGTGTTATTCCCAAGGTCTTTTTGAACTGCACTTATGTATCGGCTCATGTGGTCATGAAGCTGAGTGGCTGTGATATCTGACAGGACTTTCCACATGTATGTAAGTAGATTATTGGTCAGTAGTTGGGTGATATTATTCTTTTATGAGGATCTTTCGTGATCAGTACCGTTATTTCTTTCTCATGTTAATCAGTGTGGATGGGAGCTTGCCGCAAGCAGCTTGTTCATCTGTTTCGTTAGATGCTCTTGAACCGCTGCTAATTTCTTTAGCCGGTAGTGAATCATGTCCAGATCAAAGCTGTCCAACTTTTTATATTTTTGAGTTATTGGATATTAGCAATTTTGATGGTAGCTAGTCTCTGCTCGGAGAGGTGTGACTTGTTCTAAG